CACGCGCGGGTGAAGCGCTCCATGCCCTCGTCCGTCACCTGCGCGGGGGGAGGGGAGATGGGAGGGGCGGGGACGGGAGAGAGGAGGGGCGAGGGGGGGCGGGAGGGGAAGGGGGGACAGGAAGGTGGAGGGGAATGGGGAGTCGATAGGGGGAAAGACAGAAGGGGAGAGCATTTAGAACAGACTGGAACTTAGGGAAATGGGGGAACGCGCGGGTGAAGTGCTGCATGCCCTCGTCGGTGACAGGCGGGGCAGGGCGGGGAGGGGGTAGGAGAAGGAGGGGGAGGGGGGGGAGGGGAGGGGGGAGGGGGAAGAGACCGGGAGACGACAGGCGGAAAGACAGAAGAGGGAAATACTCGTGAGTAGGAAGCGCCTGGTCTAGCCCTCGGCCGTCACGGCCGCGGACGGTGGGTAAAAATAACAGCGGATTGAACGGAACAAGCGGGAGAAGCGGCGACGACGCGGAGGCGGGGACGCGGGGAAGGCGGGGAAAGCGCGGAGAGCAGAAAGCAGACGAAGCGTTTCCCCCCAATAAAAAGCCCACCGCACCCTTGCCCCGCCGCACCATGCCCCACCGCACCATGCCCCACCGCGCCATGCCCCACCGCGCCCCTGCCCCGCCGCTCCCTTGCCCCGCCGCCACTTCCACTGCTCCGCGACTAGCGCGACCACGTGCACGCCCGTTACAAGCACGTGGTTGCCACGTGACCAACCTGCTTGCAGTTCTTCAGCTTGAGCTTCCGCAGCAGCAGGCACTGCTCCGCCACGAGCGTGAGCGCCGCGTCATCAACGCTCTGCACGTTGCGGTCGCACTTCAGCACGAGCTTCTGCACCGCACAGAACCGCTCCAGCAGCCGCGGGAGCTGCTGCGTCAGCTCCGTCGCCGCCCGCAACGACAGGTTCGGCCGAGACTCCGAGTCCGTGCTGCAGTTTGGAAGCAAGTACGGGGCAGGTACGGAAATAGGTTCGGGAGAAGGTACGGAAATAGGTTCAAAAGTAGGTTCGGCGGATACTAGAGCCCGGACTGAGTTCCGCACGACAGTCTCACCTCATCCATCCGCCACACGCGCTTGACTTGTAGGTCGTCTCACGGGCCACCTTAACGTGAGACCAGACGTGACGGGAGCTGGTCAAATGAGACCAGACGTGACGGGAGCTGGTCAAATGAGACCAGACGTGGCGGGAACTCGGTCGCGCGAGACTGAGACTACAAGCGTGCCTCACCTCATCCATCTGCGACACACGAGCGAGCACGCTGCCAAGTCCGCCGCGTTCAGCTGCCGAAACACGGCCGCCAGGCAGTCGTCCGGCAGCAGCGAAATGAGGTTTTCCTCCGACGACGATGATGACGAAGCTGACGACGTCGCCGTGTCCGCGTGCGAAGGGTTACCACCCGTGCGACTGTCGAGCTCCAGCGAACAGTTCGACGCGCTGTCCTCGTCTTCGGAGTGATCCGAAACGGGTTTCTGAACCAGCGCCATTGGCGGCGAGTCCTACCGCTGCCGCAAGAGAATAAACCCCTTCCACGAAGCTTCGCGACCTTTCAAATCTCGACTGGCACAAAACCCCCCGCTCGCTTGAGCTCCCTTGAAGGTGCACCGAACGCGAAATGCGATAATACACGAGTGCTGCTGCAGTAGTTGAAGGCTCTGGAATACGTAACTGGAGTACCTAACTGGTAACTGAGGCTGTAGCCTGTAGGATAAACGCTCCAGCGAGGAACTGGAAAGCTCGATGCACCACGTCACTGTTCCAACTCCATAATAACTTCGAGAAGAGGTAAGCGCAACAGAATAACTACAAGGAGGCGGCGGTGATATTAGAGTCACTTCTTGTAGAACTCTCAGACGGGACTAGGAGATAAGGGCTTGAAGAACACGGCCAGTGCAAAGAGCTTCTGCTATTTCATGTCCGTGACGGTTTAGGAGGAAAGAATCAACGTGCTAGTTGTTCTTGTGACATAGACCAGCACATGACCAGCACTAGATTCTCCTCTTTGGCTCTTTCCATCACGATCAGCAACAGGTAGTAGATATAACAGAAACACGCGTAGCATGGGCATATGGGCTTCAGCTGGCGATAGTTGCGGGAGGAAGACGAATCGGAGGGTGGGGGGAGGCAGGAGGTTCGATCTGGGTGGGTGCAGCGAGTGCGGCAGCAGGCAGATCACGGAGGGAAAATCGGAGAGAAACACGGAAGGTGCAGGTTGGGAACTTGGTTGGGAGATTCGGGATGACGAGGCTGGGGCGACCATGGGGCTGTGACATGGGGGTTTTTGGTTGGGTTGAGCGATGAGAACGAGAACTGCAGTGGTTGGCTTTTGTTGGGGGTTTGGCGGGGTATTGCTGGCTGGACCTAGGGAACTGGGGAAAGGGAGAGTACACGTATCTGTCGGGTGACTTGGTCAGGAAGGACTCGGTTCGGGTCGCGCACGCCGAGCCGACGGAATGCGGTGTGGTTGTGGTGGAGAGGCAGCCATGCTGGCAAGCTCAACTACTGTGTGGCGGTGGTGATTCGTCGTTATGGTTGTGTTAGCGGGTGGCGATTGTGTTTTCAAGTCCCGAGGAAGAGAAGAGCCAGCAAAGAAGTAGCAGCTCAGCTGGTTCACTGCGCTAGAGTATGATTTTACACGGTTGAAAGCGGTACTTATTCCTACGCTACGAACCGGACAAAACAGTGGTATGTCACCTGAAAATGAACTTGCGGGGCAAACCCTAACCAAATCTCGAGACCATAGTGCAGCAGCGCAAGTGCCCACTTCCAAAGGTTTGACTGCGTGACAGACCAACAGGCCTGGTGAAGGGTGACGGCGACGTGCGAATCTCAACGCCGCGTTTGGCGGTTTGGAGGGGTGGCTCGGCACTCCTGGCTCGGAAGGATTCAGAGGTACGGGTTACGGTTTTTCTGGAGTGAGGGAATTGGGGTACGACACGACGTCTGGCGACGATTCTCTGACTGGAAAACCGCGCGGCGAGGGGAGCGTTGTAATGGATTGGATGCGACTGGTACGGGTGACAGCTGACGAGGCCTTGCGACTGGAGCGGCGGCGCTAGGTGTTGTGTGCTTCGCGGAGTGGCCCGTAATCATCGACCCAGTTTCCAATTTTTTCGCGGGGCTAAAATGGGTAACAAGGTATTACTATCATCTACGAATGGTGAAACCTGGAGTTAAAATTTGCCAAATTCTTTCACCCTTCATGGACTGTCTATTTGTTAATTCCATAAATTTCTATCTGCATCTCAGATAATGTAAGAGCTTATTTGTTATTGACATTTCCTCATTTTTTATTTTACCACTTAAAGTGTGACTTTCATATAGGATTACTATCACTTTGTGCTAGTAATAACAGAGACTTGTATACTTCAGTAGATGAAGCGTAAAGGAGCCACACAACTGATTGATGGTTGGCAGGGCTGTTGCTTGCAGGGCGTTTGCCCTGCTGGACCTTGAATTCCAGGGCTGGGCTGCCCTTGAAAACTGAAATTGATGGGTTGGAAATATTCTGGCCCTGATTCTTTACAGGGTTGATTTCGGGCTCAGGCTTGGTGTGTAAAGGGCAGATTTTAGGCGAGCCCTGGAACAAAATCTCTCGAGACCCCTCTTCCACTCCCCTCCCCCCCCCCCCCCCCCCCCAACACTCCTCCCTCTCCTTCCCCTTCGTTTCTGAACATCCCAGCGGAATCAGGTCGACGGACCCGAGTTGCCAGGGTCGACGAGGGGGGTCGACGGACAGGGGTCTGACGAGGCGGGCAAGTGACGCGCGTGCGGGCCCGCCAGCCTGGCCCTGGGCTGGGCCGGGCGCACGACCGCCGCCCCGCAACCCCCCCCCCGAGAGTGAACAGCGACCCACGTTACCGGGTGGGGGCGGTGAGCTGGCGAGACCTCGGGCGAGGGGAAGTAACCCTGCCGCGAAGGCAACCCACCCCTCCCTCGTGCCCGCGAGGCCCTAGTAACCCATCGCGGCCTGCCCGTACGGGCAGGCGAGGTCCACGCGAAAATCGGGGGCTCCCCTCGGGTCGCTCGACTATTTCGCGACCCGTTGCGGTGACGCCACGTGCTCGCCCGTCATTTCGCATCGCGTGCATGAGACATTTCGTACCCCCCGAAACTCGAGCGAAAACCTGGGTCGTTCGCCACGGGGCGCACGGCTTTCGCGACCCTCTGCGAAATCGACACGTGGTGCCGAAACGTCGCACCGCGCCCACGCGAAGTTGCGTCCCCTGGCCGACCGAGGCCAGGGCACGTGACGTAGACCTGTTGGCTCGGCGGCGAGGGTGCACTTGTGCCACGCAACTTGTGCACGAGCCCTGCCGAGCCAGGCATCACGGCCCCCTGGGCGACGCTCAGCCGGGCCTGCGTGGCTCCGCCTGGCTTTTCTTCGTTGGAGGTGGACTGGCCCCTCATTTTCGCGTTCTCGTTTCTCTTTCATTTTTCCTCCCACCTCGGCGCCTTCCATACTCCCACCGCTTCTTCCCTTAGCCTGTAGCATAGCATCCTCGCTCTCCCGCCATGGCAGCCGGCCAGAAAGCCGCCGAAGCGGCGCCGACCTCGCTAGATTTCCCCCTGCATCTAGACATCGGTAGAGGACACACGGCCAAGTTCGAAGAGCACGACTACGCCGTTCTGACAAACCCTATGCTAGAGTTTAACGCCCGTTGCTTGGGACTCGGTCTCAAGTGAGTGTCTTATGGAGATGTCGTCGTCGACGGGCCTATTCCATGCTGGTCGGCCATGGCAGGGTTTCAATGCGTCCAGTAGTATATGTCGACGGGCTTAGAGTTCAGGCACATCACATCGGTGATGCCGACGTAATGCGTTAGGTCGTCGACGACGCTGAGTTGTGCCGAAGTCGTTCGGCTCCCGTCATTCCACCGTCGTGCCGCGCACCTATACCTCTCTAATCTGTTGTAATCATGCATGCGTGCAGGCACGCATGGATCCGCTCAACGGATGCAGGCGAGCGATTGTGGTCGATAGGAGTCGGCCGGCTTCGGGCGGCGATGGGTCGGGACGACCACACATGCTTTGCGACGTTTTTCGACGCCGACGTGGCGGTTATCCCACTGATATCGAGGTGAGCAGGTTCGAGGTCCTGCTGTGTGCTGCAACCTGTGTCGGTGATTTGTTCTGAGCGCCATCGACGTGCCTTGTCTGTGCAGCATCGCACCGCTTCCGGGAGCACATTGCAGCGTCGTTCTCATCCTGTGCCCCGGCGATTTGTTCAATGCCTCGGGGCAGGAGGTCAGGACCTCGATCCGGCACGCCGACCCGCAGACAGTGAAGGAGTGGCACTGCGACGAGTCGATCCGCGTGCTGAAGTGAGCTCGATAGTTTAGTCGACATCGCATACATTGTCGACACGACGCGTGCACCGTGCTAACCGACCGTCCTTGCCGTGCTTTTGCAGGTTTTTCCGGACCGCTGTTCTGGCCGGGCTGCGGCGCGAGGGTAGGAAATGGGAGTGGGCGAAGCCGTCCGAAGACGAGGTGCAGGAGAGGCTCGCCGACTGCGACGAACCCCTTCGAGATGTGAGTTCCGGACGATTCGCCGTCATATGGTGTCACATCTACGCCGCCCTCATCCTTGCTCTCTGCACTGTTGTATGCAGAAAATTCCCGATACCGTCCGGGACTCGGACGCGGGCTCCGGCCTGCTAGCAATGAGCGCGTTGATCTGGGTTGTGAGGCGGTTCCAGCGCCTGACCGGCGACCTCCGTCGCATTGCCACCAGCATGGACAAGCCCACCGTCTCGGGGTTGAAGGCGCTGCGGAACGAGATGGTAGCCCTCATCAAGAAGCAAGTCCCGCTCATACGGTCGGGGAAAACCGTTGTTGCTGCCGACGCCTGTGACGACGACGGCGAGGAAGTCCATTCTGCATCCGTACCAGTAGGGGTCGCCCCGAACGTCGCTGATGCGCGTGGCAAGTCGGGAGTCGGCGTCGACGAGGCCGATGCGGCCGCAGGAAAGGGGGTGACCGGGACTGAGGTTGTTCACGGGGATGATGATGGGGTCCAGGATCGCGAGGAGGAACGTGAGGGTGAGGGGGGCTCGGAGGAGTCGTCGGGGTCGAGGTCGGGGTCGGGATCGGGCTCGAAGTCGGAGTCGGAGGAGGAGCAGGAGCAGGAGACGCAGGAGCACGAGAGGCAGCACTAGGAGGAGCAGTTGGTAGAGGTGGAGGACGTGGAAATGGCGGAGGGGTACGTTGTCGGAGGAGCGGAGGAAACGGGTGGGAGATCGGCGGATGTCGAGAACGACGAAGGGGAGGGGAAGGGTGCGACAGCGAATATCGGCGAGGTCGGCGTGGAGGCGGCTCACGGAGGTGGTGGCATGGTCGAGGTCGGTGAAGGGGATAACGCCGCGGTCCCGGAGCAGAGGGGCGTGGATGTGCATACCGATGCCACCGCGGAGAAGGCCGGCGGGGAGCGGTCTAGGAGGAAGAAGGCGGCGAGCGGTCATCCCGGTTCCACCGCGGCTGGGCGGCAGGCGCGGCTGGACGTCGTCGATCAGCTGAGGGCGGAGAACAGGCGATTGCGTGCAGACAATGCACTCCTTGAACGGCGGCTCGGTGAGCAGACGCGGCGGGTCGACAGCTTGGCGGCGGCATTAGCTGGGCTCCTCGAGAAGGTGAAGGGTTTGACCGCCCAGGTCGCCGACACCGACCGGAAATCGGAGGAGCGCCTCAAAGAGGCCACGTCGACCATGGCGACCACAATCACCGAGGGCCTCACCGACAACATGGACAGCGCCATTCAATCGGCCAAGTCCTTCGCCGAGCTAGCGAGGCAGACGCTGCTGGATCTTGACGACCCCAAGGGACGAGCGGCGGTCGCACGCGCGACCGCGGTGAAGACAGTGACCGAGCACGTGACGGCGGAGGTGGGCGAGGCGAGGAAGGGGTTGGAGGAGTCGTTCATCAAATACATCGGCGCCGCGCAGACCATCATTGCCGCCGCCGTCGCGCCCTGCCTAGTCCAGCCGCCGCCGCCTACCGGCCCAGCGCAGGCCTTGCCGGAAGATTTCCTGAAGTCTTTCAAGGAGGACGTGCTGAAGGCGGTGACGGAGACCACGCAGCAGTCCTTCCTCGCCTCCGGACTGAAGATAATGGCCGAGGTCGTCGGCACGGTGGCGTATGCTCGGCGTGGGTCGTCGCCGTCGGCAAACAACGCCGGCCAAGCGCAACCTACGGAGGGCTTGAAGCTGGGTCACAAGAGGCGGGGAGGCGGCGGGGGGGGCGACGGGGACAATTCGGCGAACACGAAGCGGAGCAAGGGAGGCGGGGGGTCTGGCGGCAGGGGGGGGGGACGGAGACGATTCGGCGGGCGCGAGGCGGACCAAGGGAGCGGCTGGTTCTCGCGTCGCCGGCGATGGGAGCATGGGAGTCGGCGACGGCAGTTCGTTGAAGCAGTCGGGGAAGAGCGTGGTCGACATCCTCAGGAAGCACTGGGCTCAGGTTGGAGCGGCCAGCACAGGCCATGGTGGTGGGGGTCTCGCCGACGAGCATGCCACTGATGACGCACTGCCAATGGCTCCGCCTTCGGTCGGCGTTAAGCCACCACGACAGGGTAGCGGTGTGAAAGGCCTGCGCGACAAGGAGAAGGCCGCCGCCAAAACGGCCCCAGGCGGGTCCGCGAAAGCTGGCCAGGGCCCGAAGACAGGGGTTGCGGAGGCGTCAGCGGTTCCTCACCAGTCTCCCGCGGGTGCACGCCATCCGACCGGACCGTCTGCCGGGCGACCTACCGACGTCCCGCGCCATGCCGACGTACCGTCTGCCGACAAGGTTGGCCGCGCGGGAAAAGGGGCGGCAGTTGCGGACGCGCTCAAGGAGCAGCTCAGGCTCCTAGCCGGCCACAGGGCTGTTCAACAGGCCCCCCCTGCTGTCGACGTCCCATCGGCCAGTGGGCCACGTGTAGTGCCAGTCGTCGCCGCCCGTACTCCTGCAGACCCAAAGTCCGCGTTGTTGCGCGCCCAGCTGGGCGCACTAGCGTCGACTGAGAGGACTCAGCAGGCTTCTGGCTCTGGCTCTAAGCCGTCGTCGGCGAATGTCGCACCACCCACCCATGTGGCAGCTGATGTGGAGAAGGCGGCGGAGAAGGGCGTTCGTGCCGCGCTTGCCACCGGCGGCGGCGCCGTTGAGGAGGTCCCCGCAGACGCTGATATCGCTGCCATACAGGCCCATCTGGATGCAGCCAATCCCCGAACCCTGGCCATCTCCGACACGGAACATGTGGAGCCTTCGGCGGGACTCGTCGGCATCGCGGCAGAGCCTAGTGCGACCGGTGATGCGGTCGGTGAGGGAAAGTCGAAACGGAAGGGGAAGGCGGGCTCACAGAGGAAGACGCGGGAGAAGTCGGAGGTGAAGGCGGCGGATAAACAGAAGGGGATGGCGGCGGAGACGGCGGCGGACAAAGATCGAGGCGGCATTGGGGAGGTTGAAGGGAAAGGGGAGAATCAGAAGTCGCCCGGCGAGGGTACGTCGACGGGGAGGAAGGGGAAGGACAAGTCGGTCGGAGAAGGTGCGTCGACCGGGAGAAAGGGGAAGGAGAAGGCGGTCGGCGAGGGTTCCTCGAAGGGGAGAAAGGGAAAGAGGAAGGCGGAGGAGGAGGATGAGGATGTCGAGGAGGTGGAGGAGGTCGAGCAGGAGGAAGAGGAGGAGGAGGAGGAGGAGGAGGAGGAGGAGGAGGAGGAGGGGAAGGGCAAGGAGAGGAGGGGTCATGGCATCCGACACGATACCTCGGGCGACAAGCAAGGGTGGGTCGGCGAGATTAAGGTGCACGGCATCAATTGATACATCGGCAAGTCGCGGGACAAGATGGAGCTCGCGTACGTTCACTCCATCGCGTACGTCGTCTACGACGGTTTCGTGAGCAAGGTGCTCATGACCGAGCTCACCGGCTTGGACAGCGCCGAATTGGAGAGGTGGAAGGAGGTGTGGGAGGAGGTCAGGATCTTGCCGACAGGGATGTGGACGGTGATGTGGGCCCGGGGTACGCTCCTTCCAAAAACACGGTAAGTCGGCAATCCTCCGATTCAAAGTCGATGTCGTTGTCGTTGTCACTCATGTTCGCCCTGTTTGTGGTGGCGTGACAGGCTGACGGAGATCCTCGACGCGTATCGCCATTACAAGTCCACAGGCGATTGTCTCCACGCCGCGCTCCTGCCAGCGATATGGTACCCAGTCGATGCTAGCACCGAGGAAGGCCGGGAGAAGTCGGCGTCCATGATGTCGGCGATGATAGGCCGCGTGTCAATGTGCGCTGCATATGGGAAGACCGCTGCGGCAGCGGCGAAGAAGGAGGGAGACAAGGAGGAGAAGACGGATATGGCAGCATGGGCGTTAGCAGCATCCGCATGCGCTGTGTGGTGCTTCGTCGAGAACGGCGATGCCCAGCTGGCGGATGCTGTGGAAGAAGGGAAGTCGGCGGCGATCATCGGCGGAGCGAGCCAGGCGACCGCCGATGTATTCGGAAAAGTCATGGAGGCGGTGCTGAAAGCCGAGATGAACAGGGACCGCCCCTTGGGAGAGGTTGCCTACAACGTCGCGCCAGCACTCCAGAGGACCGCCCTTGATACGGTATATCCGGGGGGGAATGCTGGAGTAGATGCCGACGTTATCGCTAGAGCGACGGTTGAGACGATGGCGTTTTGGGGAATGTGCCCCGTCGCCGGGCCGAAACTAAGAGCGAGGGACATCGCGGTGCCGATTGACGCGCAGATGAAGGCCGATCTTGACAACAGGGGGAGGAAGGGTCTGAGGGGCAAGAAGGAGACGAAGACCAAGGGCGGCACGGAGAAGGTCAAGAAGTCGAAGAAGGACAGCACGACGGCCTAGTCGACGGCATGCTAAGATTGAGTGCTGCGTGGACTCGATGATGAAATGGTCGATACCGTTTTCCTTGTTTTGGCTGTCGGATCCCTTTGATGCTCTTTCTTTGTGCGTGCCTGTCTACTTTACGTAGGATGAGTAATGAACACATTAGCTAGTAATGATTGTCTACTTCAGTTTGAACGACACGTGAATGCCCCGCTAGGCCGAGAACAACAGGATCATTGAGAGAAACAAAAAGTCGACATCAGTATCAGTATGAAACATAGGCATGCTGCATCAACATCTACAACATGCAACAGGCCACAGTAGCAGGAGGCCTGGGAACATTCAAGCGGTTTTCTTGCGCTTGGTCGACTTATTGGTCGGAGGCAGCTGCCCGGCGTCGTTTTCGCGGGCTAGGTCGGCCAACGTCTTCTTCATCTGCTCAACCCAGGTGTCCGGGAACAGGTCGGCGACCCACGTTTCGGGCTTGAGCCCGCGCGCCACGAACGCACAGGCGACACGAAGCTTGGAAAATTCCGTCTTGCCGAGCCCTTTGACGCCCTTACCCTGCCCAGCATAGGTCGCTACGGCGTCCGCGTTGAGCACCGTGAGGGCATCCGCGAAGATCCCAATGCCAGGCGCCGCTATCTTGTTAAGCGCGTCGACGGTGGCTTCCGTGTCGGCTTCGCCGTCGCTCCTGCGAAGCTGGCGCACCGCATCGATGACCTTCATCATGCGGCGCACCCTCTTCCCGTGTGCTCCCTGCGAGGCTCCGTCGAGGAGGGTGTGGCGGTCGACGAATCCCGGCTCCCTGAACCTGTCGCACAGACGACGGGTGTCGGCGCTGGTGCACGAGGTCCAGAGGCGCCACGCGTCCTTGACGGTCGTTGCAGTCCGCCAAGGCTGCACCACGTTCAGCTCGTAGGTAGCCTCCTCGACCGTCTGTGGGGGTTTATTGGGTTTGTTGGCTCCTCCACCCCTGCTTGCCGACTCCGCGGAGCCACCGTCGCTCGGCGAGTGGTCGTTAGCAGCTGGCGGCGCCTCCGGCATCCTTCGAGCTTCTGAAACGCGGAGAGCCTCGGTGAGGCGTGTTATCTCGGCCGCGAGCGACGCGATGGTTGCGTCGCGATTCTCGATCTTCTCCTCGAGGTCGAGCTTCTGGACCGTTGACCGCTCCCTCTCGAGCTTAAGCGTCTCCGTGAGGGAGACGACCGCGAACTGGGCGTCATGGCGGACCGATATCTCCTGCAATGGTATGCGAATAACGGTGCAGATGAGGGGTTGTAGCGGTCATAGATAACATCGCGACGTCGGCATAACAGATGACCTACCTCTGGCTGGATGAGGGTTGGATCTTGCCGCTTTTTTATGGTGTCGGTGTCGGTCTTCTCGACCCTCTTCGCCCAGTGCTGGAAGAGGGGAATCCGGCAGAGCTTGGAATACTGGATGTACGGGTGCCAAGGGGTGCGGACGAGTTTCACCGCGAGGTCCTCGGCGACAATGCGGCGGAACATCAGAAGGGTGCGCCAGAAATGCACGGCCGCAACGTCGGCGTCCCCTTCTTCGCGAGTTCTTCTGCCTGCAGTTAGACATCAGACGGGGGTTATTTCCATGGTGGATAGGACAGTACCATGCAAGATTGGTCGGCACCGATAAACAAACCTTGTTGAGGAGGTCGTCGACGTCGGGGAAGATGTGCTCGGCGATGAGAGCGAGGAGTTCGTCTCCCGGTTCCACCCTACTGCGACCCAAGAAGTAGTCCTGCGTGAATCCCGAATAGCCGGCCTTCTTCATCACCACGCCGACGGGAATGGACGTGATGTAGGCTCGAGTCATCTTGTCGAGAGCCCAGTGACCCAGCTCAGCTATCTCGGCGCGAGGCGTACCTTGGATGGCCAACTCCTGCGCCCCGCCCGCCCGAGCGGCATGGACGTTCCGCTTGCAGAACACCCCGTTCGTCTTCCACATCTGCCTCGTCCATCGCTGGTGGCTGGGAGCTGAGAGTTCGCCCTGCTCGGGGTCGTTGCGGGCGAAGAACAGGTGCTTCTTGTACCAGAGCTCGCGTGTGCTGGTGTCGACCGGCGGAATGAGGTCGACTCCGTGAAACTGGCCGATCTGGTCGAGGACGAAGTGTAACCACAGCCCGATCTCGCCGACGGCGCATAACTCCGCCTCTAGGTGCCGCGCCGCGTAGCTCTGTTGAAGACGCGCATCCTTGGTTGGGCCACAAACTCAACTCAGCCTAGAACTTGTGCTTAAACCAATCACAGCTCGCTCTCTGTGGAGTGGGTGACGGTTAAGGTTGGGTAGAAGTGCACAAGAACTACCCTGAAGGTTGGGTAGTAAATATGTGCAGACGATCATCGGTTCTGCAAAGGCTAGGAAGCGTGCAAAGCGTGCGTAGTGATATGACGCTAACTATTTCTCGTCTTGTCGTGTTTGCTTGCTTGTCGTTGATCTCAAACGTAGTTGTAAGCTTGGTAGTTGAAATGAGGCTCCCGATTTTTTCGCGTCAAGCCTGATTCAAGGGAGGAAAAAATTCTAGCCCTGAAGCCTAAAGGGCCGAGATTCGCCCCAGCCCTGCTAAATACAGGGTCATACATGCCGGGCCCCCTGATTTGTCCGGGGGGCCCAAAACGAAACAACAAGCCTGATGGTTGGGGTTGGTGCTTGAGTTGGGCATGGTGGTGTACGGCAGGCGAACTGTTCAGCCGTTGGATCCATCAAGCAACGGTTTGGCATTTTATTGCCACATTCAGGACCCTTCACCAACGACAATCAGCCGTATCTATGATTCGCCCAGCCTTACAGTGGCTCACGTGGGAGAGGGGACCAATGCGGAAACCATCTGGATACCCTAAACGTTTGTGTGTATACCGGGTAAGAAAATATCCCTTGGTTCTGTGTTGGTGCTTGGTTTGTTCTACTCACGATTCATATTTCTTCTGCTACCCAGGTTTCCCACCACATCCGAGACCGTATCACACCCAGTGGTCGTCAGCATACACTGTCCCAGGTGTATGTACACAACGGGTCTCCGGTAATTCTTCCCAAACAAACCAGCTATGCCACGAAACCGCCCAGACAAAACCTACAAGCACGCACAAGTGGTTTGATTGGACGACCTTGTACACCAAATGTGGCTCGGAGGCACTGGTGCTGCAAAGAACCTTGCTCAACCAGGCCCAAACAACCACTGGCTTGGGCTACGTTCGGAATTTCACCGGTCAGGGTGATATTGTTTTTGTAACAAAATTGCATGCACTAGGGGGTAGTAAGGACGTGGGCCCAATCGAGATTGATCGCGACTGATCTGATCGGGTCGGATCTGATCGGGCTGCTTGTGATCGCGTTTCCCGAGCCGCGCGATTAGAGATGTTTTTCGAAAAAGTTCATTAGCGGCTGCTCAGCAATCGCGATATATTTACCTAGCAGTTTCGTCCCCATTCTAGCGAGACTGACGACGAGAAGTCACCTGGCGAAAATATTCGGTTCGCTGTAAGCGCAACATTGTAACCACTCGCAAGCGTCGCTGTGGGCTCCGATCACATGCAATCAAGCGATCGCCTGTGATCGAGGAAAATTGGCTCTGATCGGGGTGCGAATCGGGTCTGATCGAGTTTGGGCGATCAGCTGATCGCAATCAGCTGATTCCCCCCGATTGCCTGAAATTGGCGTCCAGGCTTGAAAGTTCCTGATCGCGTGTGATCGAGGCGATCAGACTCGATTGAGACCACGTCCTAAGAGAATTTTAGCAAAATGCTTGCGGGCCTGGTTTGACGGGACGCAAGGCGTGGCGAAGCGAACCGTCTCAGAATATCGAACCTCTCTGTCAATTCCCCTCAGTGAGAATCAAACCACATCGAAACTGCACATCTGGGGACGGAATGAAGTTACAGTGGTTCCGCTCCGCTACAGTGATTCCGCTCCAGCTGCGCCAGCCTTCCTTCCGCTTCCCCCAACTAACCTCTGGCAACCTAGAGACTTCCTCGCACCTAGTTTCCTGATATCGTCGCGCAAGCGCCGCTCCTTTCTCATACTTGGTCTGCTCGGCACTCCCTAAGTTGACTGATCCTTCAACTTCGCGTAGTTGTTTCGGTGTGGGAACAAAGTAAGCTGCCGCCATCTCGCCGTTTCACTTGCTGCGTTAGAATCGATACTTCCAAGAGGCTTAGTTCGCCACGTTCAGTCTCGAAGAAGGCTCCAGTCCAGCTTCTTCTCACCTCTAACTTCTGCTGTACATATCAAGTCCCTCCCATTTCACTAGCTTAGACCCTTCGCTTCGATATTAGTCCCTCCCGTCTTATTACAGAACCTCCACTGACATTCCCCACTGAAGGTTACTAATGACGAGGCTTCGTATCTAACCCTAGCTCTTTAACACCTCAGGACAGTACGATTTTTTCGTTGATTTAAAATTAGGTCGACCAGCCGCCTATCACGAGTCGCAAAATTCTTTTCCCCAACTGAGACTTGCATGTACAGTTCCCGCCATTCTTGTATTAGGAGATAATCTCCAGCAGCGATAGCGTCGGTTCATATACGCTCATTGCCCGGCCGCGGCCATTCAATAATCGTCTGGTCTTCCTCTAGCCTGATCTCCCTGTGTCGTCCTAATTTTCTCCTCGAATCGCGTCAGAAGAGCAGCTTCTGACAGTACGGCCGTTACGAGACGCCATGAACAGGTACGTGGCTTCCCGGCTTTATTTCCTTCTCCCCTATCCGTTTCTGTGCGTGCTCGCTCTGTTAGATCTGCCTGTTTTGTTCCGAGCTGTGGTAATAAAGGTGCAGGTAGAGACAGGTGGTAAGACGTCTAAGCAATTCCAGGAACACGTGTATGGGGTAGGTAATGACACGTGGAGGAACTGCAGAGTTAAAAGACGTCTTAAAATCACTCGGTCCTGCAGTTCGGCTGTGGACACGTGGAGCAGCGGTAGGGCACGTGGAGGAGCGGTAGAGTACGACGTTTGCGCCAAGCAGGGGTGGTCGGCAACGGCAGGGGTGGATGACAACGATAGGTTTTGGTGGAATCGATAAGGTCGATAAAAACGACAGGGTTGGACAAAAGGGAAAAGGGCGAATGGTTTCTTTGCGCGGATTGCCTCATTGCGCTGCGCCAATTAGGGATGGAGAAGGTTAGGGTGGAGAGAGGCGGACGGAGACGGTTAGGGTGGACGGAGACGGTTAGGGTGGACGGAAAAGGAAATGGTAGACAGAGACGGAAGGGGTTCGGATACGGTTAGGGTGGACGGAGGCGGGAAGGGTTGACGGAGACGGCAGGGATGGACGGAGACGATGGACGGGACCGGTACGGAGGACGCAGACAGTAAGGGTGGACGGAGGCGGTGGAGGTGACGAGTACCATGAGACTCTAGCGCAACTCTCGAGAAAACGCGAGCTGTTCTTACTCATACGCGTCGCTGCTTCCTGCGGCTCCCCTAACCAGCTCCTCATTATACCTTTCCCACTCACCACAAACTCTTTCCTAAGGCGCCTTGGACAACAAAAAACTCTCGGCTTCTTTACAAGCTGATCGCTTATCGATTACAAGAGAAATCGTTTATCGATTACAAGGTTGGAACCGCGCGGGTTGCTGCAGATCGAACGCGTCGCCTTCTCTGCCCATGCATGTCCCGCTCGCCACGCGGCGTCCGCGACGTCGTGTGCTTGTCGTGTGCTTGTCGTAGAGCACTCGCGTGACGTCACTTAACAGCGCCTTCTCAAAGCGATTCGAAACACGTCTCAAATCGTCGAATGCTCGTCGAAGCGCTAGCTCCATCTGGGTCATGCGGAACGCAATATTGGACGCGTTCGTTCGTTGGGGGACGGAGTGTTTGAGTACAGTGTTATATTATCTTGGAAAGTGGTTTTATACGTGTACATACATGTTCCTCGTGCCTTGTATTCCCGCAGGTACAAGGTGATGAAGCAGCTGGGGGACGGCACTTACGGGACCGTGTGGAAAGCCCTTAACCTGCACACGAACGAGATTGTGAGTGTATAGTGTTTGGACCGAGAGGGTAAAGAGTGCAAGCAAGCGTTTTTTGAGAATTCTCAAAAAACACACGCTGTGTGGAAAGCGCTTAACCTGCACACGAACGAGATTGTGAGTGTATACTGTTTGGACCGAGAGGGTAAAAGAGTGCAAGCAAGTGTTTTTTGAGAATTCTAAAAAAACACACGCTGTGTGGAAAGCGCTTAACCTGCACACGAACGAGATTGTGAGTGTATACTGTTTGGTTTGGACCGAGAGGGTAGACGAGTGCAAGCAATTCGACTCAATAGTCACCTCCGTTTGGAAGGCGCTTAACCTGCGCACGAACGAAGTGTTAAACAACCGAGGGTGTGGTGTGGGGTGTACAGTAATAAAAGTGTTGAGTATTTACAGAAAGTGTGCATGAGCCTGCGGGATTGGGGGGAAAACGTCATCTTGCACACCGCTTACCCCAGTTCATGTCTGACCCCCTCATCCCATCTCCAACACATTCCCCCGCCCCCTCTCTCTCCCGAACACATTCCCCCTCCCCCTCTTTCTCCCGCTCTTTCTCCTCCCCACTCGTGTAACGAGTGCATGAGCTTGCGACAAGTAGGGCGTCTCACTTACACCCTGCACTCCCCCCTCCCTCCCTCGACCTCGCTCCTCCCTTCGTCTCCCCAGGTTGCTGTGAAGAAGATGAAGCGCAAGTTCTATTCATGGGACGAGCGCATGAGCCTGCGAGAGAGCAAGGGCATATCCCCACTCCCCGTTCACCTTCCCCTCGCATGTCCGTCCCGCTCCCCCTCTCCCCATTCCTCCCTTTCCCCCCCACCCCCAGGTTGCTGTCAAGAAGATGAAGCGCAAGTTCTATTCATGGGACGAGTGCATGAGCCTGCGAGAGGTCAAGGTACGCATGAGGAGAAAGTGGGGGAGGCGAAGGAGGGGAAGAGACTGGGGGAGAAATGGGTGGGAAAGCAAGGGAAGGAAGGGGACGAGTGCATGAACCTGCGAGAGGTCAAGGTATGCAGGAGGAGAAGGCGGGAAAGGCGGCGTAAGGAGTGGTGGGGAGAAGGGATGGGGATGACGGAGGAGGGACGGAGAAAAGGGCGGGACGGAAAGAAGGAGGAGGGGAGAAGGAAGGGGATGAGTTCATGAACCTGCGAGAGGACAAGGTAGGCAGGAGGGGAAGCGGGGATAAGGCGGCGTAGGGGGTGTGGAAGGAGGGGCGTGGGAATGGGGATGGAGGGGGAGGGGTTGGGGAAAATACATACGAAGGGGACGAGTGCGTGAGCCTGGGAGGTGGCCAGGAGGGGAAGGCGGGGAAAGACCGCGAGTTGACTTTTGAGTCGACTCAAGAGTGCGTGAGCCTGGGAGGTGGCCAGGAGGGGAAGGTGGGGAAAGACCGCGAGTTGACTTTTGAGTCGACTCAAGAGTGCGTGAGCCTGGGAGGTGGCCAGGAGGGGAAGGCGGGGAAAGACCGCGAGTTGACTTTTGAGTCGACTCAAGAGTGCGTGAGCCTGGGAGGTGGCCGGGAGGTGGCCAGGAGGGGAAGGCGGGGAAAGACCAGACCGCGCAAGGAATGAGGAAGGAGGGGGAGGGACGGGTCACGGGGGAAAAAGCGCGAAGCGAAAGGAAGGTGAAAGGATTGTGTGGAAGGGGAAGGCAGGAATTTGGTAGGAAGGAAGGATGATGTTCAACCCAAACATGTTCAACCCAAACATGTTCAACCCGAACATGTTCAACCCGAACATGTTCAACCCAACCCTGAAAGATGTTATACCATCTCCACTCGATTAGTGGTCGTTATTCCTCCTTAGCCCCTTCCTCCCTCCTCTTTTCCCCATGCCTACCACCAGTCGCCGCGCAAGCTGAACCACCCCAACATAGTGCGACTCAAGGAGGCAAACTGTCCCTTTCTTTCCCCTCTCCCCCCTCTCCCTCTCTCCCCTTACTCCTCAACCCCCCTTCACCTTTCGCCCCATACTCCTCAACCCCCCTCCCCGCTCCCCCCTTCCGCCAGTCGCTGCGCAAGCTGAACCACCCCAACATAGTGCGGCTGAAGGAGGTGATTCGAGAAAACAACGAACTCTTCTTCATATTCGAATTCATGGTGAGGCGATGGGGGGGAGCGGGCTGGGAGGGGGGTTGAATGAATGAGGGGTGGAAGGAGCCGGGTTAAAAGCACACAGAACGCTTGTAGCAAGCTGTACCACCCCGACATAGTGCGGCTGAAGGAGGTGATCCGAGAAAACAAGGAGCTTTTCTTCATTTTCGAATTCATGGTGAGGCAGTGAGCGGGGGGGGGGGGGGGAAAGAGTGCAGATGAATGATTGACAGAGCGCGCGCGCGCGCGCGCGCGTGTGTGTGTGTGTGTGTGTGTGCACGCCCACATGCGAGGGCAGGAGTGCAACCTGTAGCATCTGATGAAGGACAGAGAGACCTACTGTCTACCCACTGTCCTCTGAGCACAGTGCCTCACAACCACTCCCTTCCTCCTCTCCTCTCTTCTCCTGTGTCCTCTCTTCTCCTGTGTCCTCTCTTCTCCTGTGTCCTCTCTTCTCCTGTGTCCTCTCTTCTCCTGTGTCCTCTCTTCTCCTGTGTCCTCTCTTCTCCTGTGTCCTCTCTTCTCCTGTGTCCTCTCTTCTCCTGTGTCCTCTCTTCTCCTGTGTCCTCTCTTCTCCTGTGTCCTCTCTTCTCCTGTGTCCTCTCTTCTCCTGTGTCCTCTCTTCTCCTGTGTCCTCTCTTCTCCTGTGTCCTCTCTTCTCCTGTGTCCTCTCTTCTCCTGTGTCCTCTCTTCTCCTGTGTCCTCTCTTCTCCTGTGTCCTCTCTTCTCCTGTGTCCTCTCTTCTCCTGTGTCCTCTCTTCTCCTGTGTCCTCTCTTCTCCTGTGTCCTCTCTTCTCCTGTGTCCTCTCTTCTCCTGTGTCCTCTCTTCTCCTGTGTCCTCTCTTCTCCTGTGTCCTCTCTTCTCCTGTGTCCTCTCTTCTCCTGTGTCCTCTCTTCTCCTGTGTCCTCTCTTCTCCTGTGTCCTCTCTTCTCCTGTGTCCTCTCTTCTCCTGTGTCCTCTCTTCTCCTGTGTCCTCTCTTCTCCTGTGTCCTCTCTTCTCCTGTGTCCTCTCTTCTCCTGTGTCCTCTCTTCTCCTGTGTCCTCTCTTCTCCTGTGTCCTCTCTTCTCCTGTGTCCTCTCTTCTCCTGTGTCCTCTCTTCTCCTGTGTCCTCTCTTCTCCTGTGTCCTCTCTTCTCCTGTGTCCTCTCTTCTCCTGTGTCCTCTCTTCTCCTGTGTCCTCTCTTCTCCTGTGTCCTCTCTTCTCCTGTGTCCTCTCTTCTCCTGTGTCCTCTCTTCTCCTGTGTCCTCTCTTCTCCTGTGTCCTCTCTTCTCCTGTGTCCTCTCTTCTCCTGTGTCCTCTCTTCTCCTGTGTCCTCTCTTCTCCTGTGTCCTCTCTTCTCCTGTGTCCTCTCTTCTCCTGTGTCCTCTCTTCTCCTGTGTCCTCTCTTCTCCTGTGTCCTCTCTTCTCCTGTGTCCTCTCTTCTCCTGTGTCCTCTCTTCTCCTGTGTCCTCTCTTCTCCTGTGTCCTCTCTTCTCCTGTGTCCTCTCTTCTCCTGTGTCCTCTCTTCTCCTGTGTCCTCTCTTCTCCTGTGTCCTCTCTTCTCCTGTGTCCTCTCTTCTCCTGTGTCCTCTCTTCTCCTGTGTCCTCTCTTCTCCTGTGTCCTCTCTTCTCCTGTGTCCTCTCTTCTCCTGTGTCCTCTCTTCTCCTGTGTCCTCTCTTCTCCTGTGTCCTCTCTTCTCCTGTGTCCCTCTTCTCCTGTGTCCTCTCTTCTCCTGTGTCCTCTCTTCTCCTGTGTCCTCTCTTCTCCTGTGTCCTCTCTTCTCCTGTGTCCTCTCTTCTCCTGTGTCCTCTCTTCTCCTGTGTCCTCTCTTCTCCTGTGTCCTCTCTTCTCCTGTGTCCTCTCTTCTCCTGTGTCCTCTCTTCTCCTGTGTCCTCTCTTCTCCTGTGTCCTCTCTTCTCCTGTGTCCTCTCTTCTCCTGTGTCCTCTCTTCTCCTGTGTCCTCTCTTCTCCTGTGTCCTCTCTTCTCCTGTGTCCTCTCTTCTCCTGTGTCCTCTCTTCTCCTGTGTCCTCTCTTCTCCTGTGTCCTCTCTTCTCCTGTGTCCTCTCTTCTCCTGTGTCCTCTCTTCTCCTGTGTCCTCTCTTCTCCTGTGTCCTCTCTTCTCCTGTGTCCTCTCTTCTCCTGTGTCCTCTCTTCTCCTGTGTCCTCTCTTCTCCTGTGTCCTCTCTTCTCCTGTGTCCTCTCTTCTCCTGTGTCCTCTCTTCTCCTGTGTCCTCTCTTCTCCTGTGTCCTCTCTTCTCCTGTGTCCTCTCTTCTCCTGTGTCCTCTCTTCTCCTGTGTCCTCTCTTCTCCTGTGTCCTCTCTTCTCCTGTGTCCTCTCTTCTCCTGTGTCCTCTCTTCTCCTGTGTCCTCTCTTCTCCTGTGTCCTCTCTTCTCCTGTGTCCTCTCTTCTCTTCTCTTCTCCTGTGTCCTCTCTTCTCCTGTGTCCTCTCTTCTCCTGTGGTCCTCTCTTCTCCTGTGTCCTCTCTTCTCCTGTGTCCTCTCTTCTCCTGTGTCCTCTCTTCTCCTGTGTCCTCTCTTCTCCTGTGTCCTCTCTTCTCCTGTGTCCTCTCTTCTCCTGTGTCCTCTCTTCTCCTGTGTCCTCTCTTCTCCTGTGTCCTCTCTTCTCCTGTGTCCCTCTCTTCTCCTGTGTCCTCTCTTCTCCTGTGTCCTCTCTTCTCCTGTGTCCTCTCTTCTCCTGTGTCCTCTCTTCTCCTGTGTCCTCTCTTCTCCTGTGTCCTCTCTTCTCCTGTGTCCTCTCTTCTCCTGTGTCCTCTCTTCTCCTGTGTCCTCTCTTCTCCTGTGTCCTCTCTTCTCCTGTGTCCTCTCTTCTCCTGTGTCCTCTCTTCTCCTGTGTCCTCTCTTCTCCTGTGTCCTCTCTTCTCCTGTGTCTCCCTTTCTCACTACGTCTGGCTGTGACGGCAGGAGTGCAACCTGTACCATCTGATGAAGGACAGAGAGACCTACTTTCAAGAATCCACCATTCGAAACTGGATGTACCAGGTAAGCCGGCCAGGCGCGTTGATTTCTGGGTTGTCTTGAAGTCAACTGGGCTATACTCGTACCACACAAGCACTCATGAGTTGACAGTTGACTGCACGCAGAGAGACTCGCTGACGTTCTGTTCTGTTCTGCCTCGTCCTTCTCCCTGTCCTGTCCCCCCCCGCCAGGTGCTACTAGGCCTGGCGCACATGCACAAGCACGGCTACTTCCACCGCGACCTCAAGCCAGGTGGGTGGTTGAGAGGGGTTGAGGCAGGTTGGGGGGTTGAGGCAGGTGGGGGGTTGAGGCAGGTGGGGGGTTGAGGCATGTGGGGGGTTGAGGCAGGTGGGGGGTTGAGGCATGTGGGGGGGAGGCAGGTGGGGGAGGCAGGTGGGAGAGGCAGGTGGGGGGAGGCAGATGGGGGAAGGCAGATGGGGGAAGGCAGATGGGGGAAGGCAGATGGGGGAAGGCAGATGGGGGGAGGCAGGTGGGGGGAGGCAAATGGGGGGAGGCAGATGGATGAGGGTGGGTCTGATTTCCGCCTGACAAGAGAGATCAAGTCCCGGCCTCCCTTCACATAGTCTGTTCCCTGCCATCGCACGTGTGCCAGTCATCGGAGATTACTTTTGAGTCGACTCAAAAGTCATCCTGTTCCCTGCCATCGCATGTGTGCCAGTCATCCGCCCGTCCATGTGTTACCTGCTTCCTTCCCATCCATGCGTGTCCAGAGAACCTGCTAGTGACCAAGGACCTGATTAAAGTTGCGGATTTCGGCCTGGCAAGGGAGATCAAGTCGCGGCCTCCTTTCACAGACTACGTGTCTACCCGATGGTGGGTGGTGTGGGTTTGGGCTGGTGGTGGTGGTCAGGGGTTAGGTTGGTGGGTTGAGCGCGGGTGGGTGTTGTGGGGATGGGTTGGTGGGGGAAAAGGGGTCATTGTGGGATGCATTGTGAGGAAGGGAGATCAAGTCCCGGCCTCCCTTCACAGACCATGTGTCCACCCGATGGTGGGTTGGCTGGCGGTGGGGGCGGGCTGGTGATTTGGAGTTTGGGGGTTCAGTGTTGTGGGGTTCGGTGTGTGGGTGGTGGTGTGGTGTGTGAGGGTGGGTGAGTGTCGGCCTGGCAAGGGAGATCAAGTCGCGGCCTCCCTTCACAGACTGTGTGTCTACCCGATGGTGGGTTGGCGGTGGGGGCGGGCTGGTGGTGCTGTGTGGTTTGGGGGGTGGGTGGTGTGAGGATGCGGGGTTTGGGGGTTCAATGATGTGGGGTTGGGTGTATGGGTGGTGTGTGTGAGTGGGTGAGTGCTGGCCTGGCAAGGGAGATCAAGTCCCGGCCTCCCTTCACAGACGATGTGTCCACCCGATGGTGTGTGGTGTGGGTGGTGTGGTGTGGGAATGGGTTGGCAGGTTCGTGGGTGGGTAGTTAGGTGAGTGGTGTGAGGGTGGTTGGGGTTGGGCGCATGGGTCTTGTCACCTTTGTATTTCTTTCGAAAACCCTCCTCCCCACTCCCTTTACCCCTCTTCCCTCCCGCCCCCCCCCCTCCCGCCCTCCCACCCCTTCCCCCCTCCTCCTTGTCGTTCCCAACTCCCCTTCTGTGTTTCTTTGCCTCTTCCGCACGTATTTCGTTTTCCTTCCACCCTCCCGTTTCCGCTCGTTCTCTCATTCTGCTCTCATCCTCCTTCCGTCCTCCTCTCATCCTCCCTCTCTTCCCTTCCATCCCGCCCACTCCCTCTCATGCTCCCTCCCATGCTCCCTCCCATCCTCCCTCTCTCGTTCTCCTCTCATCGTCTTTCTCACTTTCCCTCTCAGCATCCCTCTCGTTTTCCCTCTTGTGTGCTCTGTCATGTCACCTCAGGTATCGAGCACCAGAGGTGTTACTTCAGTCAACAGTTTACAACGCCCCAATAGGTGTGCGGCAGCTTGCTTTAGTAGCTTGCGTTGGTAGCCAAGGGTGCGGTTTGCTGTGGTAGATTGCTTTGATAGCTTGCTTCATTAACTTTCTTTAATAGCTTGCATTGCCAATTGTTTGGGATTTGCTGCCTGAATACGTGCAGTCTCATCATGCCACTTAATATTCTGTAATGCTTGATCTCCCTTCCCCACTCCCCTACCCCTCCCCTCTCCTCCCCTCCCCTCCCCTCCCACACTCCCTCCCCTTCCTGCCCCTCCCCCCCTCCCCCTCCCCCATACCTCTTGGCCCGCTCTCCACCCTCCCTCTTCCCCTGTACCCATGCAGACATGTGGGCAATAGGAGCAATCATGGCAGAGCTCTTCACACTCGAACCACTCTTCCCCGGGGCAAGGTAATTGCTCCTAGCAATTAATCCGTAATGCTTTGTATTCCCCTCCCTGAACCCCCCCGCAATCTCCTCCCTACCCTCTCCCACCTCCCCGTTTCCCATCTCCATCCCTCCTCTCCCCTGCTCCCTTCCCCACTCCTCAACCCACAATGTCCCATTTTTTGCCAAATAGGCCTCCCATTGGATGTTAGTCCGATGAACGCCCACCCCCAGGACATGGTCACCGTTGTCATGGCTGACTTGACAACTCCACTCCACTTCCCTACGCGTGTTCTCCTCTCCCCTTCCCTTCCACACACGCCAGTGAGATCGATGAGATTCTCAAGATCTGCGCTGACATCGGCACGCCCACCCCCAGGACATAGCCACAGTTGTCATGGCTGACTTTACAGTTCCACTCCACTTCCCGCCACGCGTTTTCCTCTTCCTTGCCTTGCATACGTTTGCCTCCCTTTTCCGCTCCCTTCCGCTCCCCACGCCAGTGAGATCGACGAGATTCTCAAGATATGCGCTGTCATCAGTACACCAACCCCCAGGACATGGCCGATTTGACAGAATCGCACTGACTTCCTTACATGCGTGTTCCTCTCCCTTCCCTTCTTCTCCCTTCCCTTCCACCTACCAGTGAGATCGATGAGATTCTCAAGATCTGCGCTGTCATCGGCACGCCCACCCCCAGGACGTGGCCCCAGGGCCTCCGTCTCGCAGCTTCCATGAACTTTCGCTTCCCTGAGGTGTGCTTGCTTCCCACCTAGCCCTGCATGCTGTCGTGCCCATGCCATGCCATGCCATGCCATGCCATGCCATGCCATGTCGTGATGTGCCATGCCATGCCATGTCGTGATGTGCCACGCCATGCCATGCCATGCCATGCCATGCCATGCCATGTCGTGATGTGCCATGCCATGCCATGCCATGCCATGTCGTGATGTGCCATGCCATGCCATGCCATGCCATGCCATGTCGTGATGTGCCATGCCATTCCATGCCATGTCGTGATGTGCCATGCCATGCCATGCCATGTCGTGATGTGCCATGCCGCGCGATGCCATGCCATGCCATGCCATGCCATGCCATGCCAAGCCATGCCATGCCATGCCATGTCGTGATGTGCCATGCCGCGCTATGCCATGCCATGCCATGCCATGCCATGCCATGCCATGCCATGTCGTGATGTGCCATGCCGCGCTATGCCATGCCATGCCATGCTATGCCATGTCATGATTTGCCATGCCGCGCTATGCCATGCCATGCCATGTCATGATTTGCCATGCCGCGCTGTGCCATGCCATGCCATGCCATGCCATGTCATGATTTGCCATGCCGCGCTGTGCCATGCCATGCCATGCCATGCCATGCCATGTCATGATTTGCCATGCCGCGCTGTGCCATGCCATGCCATGCCATGCCATGCCGTGACTGCCTTCTGCTCCTAGGAGCCCTGCCACGTGCCACAACACTCCATCCCCACTCTTACCCCCTTCAGTACTCGCCCATCCCGCTCGCTCAAATCATGCTCATGGCATCAGACGACGAGGCGGTCAACCTGGTGTCTGCTCTCTGCTCCTGGGACCCCACCAACTCTCATGCTCATCCCCCACTCTTCCTTCCCCCCCCCCCCTCCAACTCCCACCCACAACCCCCCACCCATCTCCCCGCAATTCTCCCCCTTCAGTACTCGCCCATCCCGCTCGCTCAAATCATGCCCATGGCATCAGACGAGGCAGTCGACCTGGTGACCGCTCTCTGCTCCTGGGACCCTGCAAGGCGCCCCTCCGCTGCCCAGGCGCTGCAACACCCCTTCTTCCTGGTGAGAGCATGACTGTGGCCGTACGCATGTGTAATCATGGGTTTGAAGGGGATTCAGGGAGGGGCATATAGTGTGATAGAGAGGAGCAGTTGACCTGGTCACTGCTCTTTGCTCCTGGGACCCTGCAAGGCGCCCCTCTGCTGCCCAGGCGCTGCAACACCCCTTCTTCCTGGTGAGAGGCCGTGGCTGTGTGTGTGTGTGTGTGTGTGTGTGTGTGTGTGTGTGTGTGTGTGTGTGTGTGTGTGTGTGTGTGTGAGTGTGTGTGTGTGTGTGAGTGTGTGTGTGTGTGAGTGTGTGTGAGTGTGTGTGTGTGTGTGAGTGTGTGTGTGTGAGTGTGTGTGTGTGAGTGTGTGTGTGTGTGTGTGTGTGTGTGTGTGTGTGTCTATGGGTTCGATGGGGATTCACAAGGCAGGATCTAGTGTAGTGTGATGGGGAGGAGCAGTCGACCTGGTGACCGCTCTCTGCTCCTGGGACCCCGCAAAGCGCCCCTCTGCTTTGAGGTGTGTTTTGAGGCGCCTCAAAACACACCTCAATGCGGGAGGAGCAGTCGACCTGGTGACCGCTCTCTGTTCCTGGGTCCCCGCAAGGCGCCCCTCTGCTGCGCAGTCGCTGCAGCACCCCTTCTTCCTGGTGAGAGAAACCTTGGCAGGCAGTGGGTGTGTGGGGCGGGTAGGATTTATAAGGGGGAATGAAAACGGGTAAGGAGTGGTGGGGAGGAAGGTTGATATAGGCAAGCAGTCAGCCGTGTGACTGCCCATTGCTGGCCACTGACGCCCTGTGTTCCCTCCCCCCTCTTCTCTTTCCTGCTGCCCCTTCTCTTCCCCCCCTCCTCCCGAGCAGAAGGGAGTGACGCTCCCCTACACACCCAAGAAGCCCAAATCCTCCTCCTCTTCCGCCGCCACCACCGGTCCCGTCGTCCCCATCACCACGCCCTCTCAGCTCGCCGCTGCCTCCCACGCTGCCCTCTCCGGCTCTCTCGGTCTCTCCGACCCAGGGCAAACCTTCCTGCAGCCTATGCCACGTGCTGTTGCCTCTCCCCTGCATGGAGCAGGAGCAGGACCAGGGGCGGGACTGGGGCAGGGGCAAGGTCAAGGGCAAGGGCAGGGGTATGTGACAGAGCAGCAGCAGCAGCTGCAGCAGCAGCAACAGGTTCCAGTTCCGAAGCTGTACCAGGCACAGCCGCAGCAACTGCAACAGCAGCAGCAACAGCAACAGCAGCAGCAACTTCAGCAGCAGCAGCAGCAGCAGTACCAGCAGCAACCCCAGCAACCCCAGCAGCATCTGTTGAGTCCCACGACTCAGCTGAGCCCGAGAATACAGCAGAGCCCTCTGCAGGACGGCGAACCACTGAGCCCTCACATGCTCCCCAGCCCCCTCCACGCCGCCCTCTCCCAGACACAGGTGCAGGGGCAGGGAATGGGAATAGGGCAGGGGGGAGGGCAGGGGCAGAGGCAGGGCGGGCAGGTGCGGAAATGGCACCAGCAGGAGCAGAAAACGGGGGGGCAGTTGCAGCAGCCGCTGCAGCAGCCAGTGCAGCAGATGGGGGGACAGATGGGGCCCGGGCAGGGGCAGGGGCAGGGGCAGATGGTGCCGGGCGGAGGGTTAGCAATGGGGGGATACGGGTTGGGAGGGCAGGGAGGAGGGGGCTATGGGTTGGGAGGACAAGGATCAGGGGGTGATTATGAGCAGGGAGGGAGTCTGGGTAACAGGGCAGGGGCGTACCAGCAAGGTTCGCTGTCTCCCCTCCACCTACAGTCACAATCATCACAATCACAGTCTCAATTACAGTCACAAATGCAGGCACAAGCACAAGTGCAGCTGCAAGCACAGTTACAGGCGCAGTTGCAGTTACAGTCGCACCAGCCCCAGATGCAACCTCCCCCACGCTCCCCCCAACGATCCACCTCCCAGAACCCACCCCGATCGCCTCTGCGCTCGCCCCTCCACTCCCCCATGCTCTCCCCTGTGCACCCTTCGTTAGAGGGGTCTGCTGTAAGGGCCTTACAAGCGCCTCAGGCTACCCAGCAGTCCCAGCAGGGACACTATCAGGGGCAGCAGCAGTATCAGGGGCAGCAATATCAGGGGCAGTACCCTCCTCAACAGCAGTACCAGCAGCAGCAACAGTACCAGCAGCAGCAGCAGTACCAGCAGCAGTATCAGCAGCAAGAGCAGGGATATATGGAGCGGGCAGATGAGGGAGGAGCAGGGGGGGGGTACGCAGATGGGGGGGCAGACGGAACAGGAGCAGGCGGAGGGGGAGGGGGTGGAAAGTCGGAAAAGCGAGGGTTTTTCTCGCGAAAACTGGGCGGGTCGAAGAGTGTAGGCAGGAATAACCCCCCGGGTGATGGCAAGGGAGGGGGAGGCGGGGGAGGAGGAGGGGGAGGTGGGGGAGGTGGAGGAGGAGGAGGGGGGGTTAGCAAGCTTGCTTCATTGCAACGATACGGAAGCCAATTACTAGGTGGGCCACATTCCCGAGTTGACTTTTGAGTCGACCCAAAAGTCAACTAGGTGGGGGAGGAGGAGGGGTTAGCAAGCTTGCTTCGTTGCAACGAAACGGAAGCCAATTGTTAGGTGGGCTGTCTATGCTCCACTATGTTCCACTCCCTTGTTCAGTTGCCTCGAAGGCAATTACTAGGTGATACGCCTTGAGAAGCCTTGACCCATGTCGGGCCATCCAATGCATTCCATGGCATTCCATGCCATGCCATGTGCTGCCATGGCCTTATTTCACTCTCCTCCTTCTCTCTCCCCTCTCTCCTTACCCCAACCCCAACCCCAACCCCATGACTCTCCCTCCATATGCCCTTATGTCCTTCCCTCCCCATGTGCTCTGTGTCCCATGCTCTCTCTGTGTCCCATGCTCTCTCTGTGTCCCATGCTCTCTCTCTGTGTCCCATGCTCTCTCTGTGTCCCATGCTCTCTCTGTGTCCCATGCTCTCTGTGTGTCCCATGCTCTCTGTGTGTCCCATGCTCTCTCTGTGTCCCATGCTCTCTCTGTGTCCCATGCTCTCTCTCTGTGTCCCATGCTCTCTCTGTCCCATGCTCTCTCTGTGTCCCATGCTCTCTCTCTGTATCCCATGCTCCCTCTCTGTGTCCCATGCTCTCTCTCTGTGTCCCATGCTCTCTCTCTGTGTCCCATGCTCTCTCTCTGTGTCCCATGCTCTCTCTATTTGTCCCATGCTCTCTCTCTGTGTCCCATGCTCTCTCTCTGTGTCCCATGCTCTCTCTCTGTGTCCCATGCTCTCTCTCTGTGTCCCATGCTCTCTCTCTGTGTCCCATGCTCTCTCTCTGTATCCCATGCTCTCTCTCTGTATCCCATGCTCTCTCTCTGTGTCCCATGCTCTCTCTCTGTGTCCCATGCTCTCTCTCTGTATCCCATGCTCTCTCTCTGTGTCCCATGCTCTCTCTCTCTGTCCCATGCTCTCTCTGTGTCCCATGCTCTCTGTGTGTCCCATGCTCTCTGTGTGTCCCATGCTCTCTGTGTGTCCCATGCTCTCTGTGTGTCCCATGCTCTCTCTGTGTCCCATGCTCTCTCTGTGTCCCATGCTCTCTCTGTGTCCCATGCTCTCTCTGTCCCATGCTCTCTCTGTCCCATGCTCTCTCTCTGTATCCCATGCTCTCTCTCTGTGTCCCATGCTCTCTCTCTGTGTCCCATGCTCTCTCTCTGTGTCCCATGCTCTCTCTCTGTGTCCCATGCTCTCTCTCTGTGTCCCATGCTCTCTCTCTGTGTCCCATGCTCTCTCTCTGTGTCCCATGCTCTCTCTCTGTGTCCCATGCTCTCTCTCTGTATCCCATGCTCTCTCTCTGTATCCCATGCTCTCTCTCTGTATCCCATGCTCTCTCTCTGTATCCCATGCTCTCTCTCTGTATCCCATGCTCTCTCTCTGTGTCCCATGCTCTCTCTCTCTGTATCCCATGCTCTCTCTCTGTATCCCATGCTCTCTCTCTGTATCCCATGCTCTCTCTCTGTATCCCATGCTCTCTCTCTGTATCCCATGCTCTCTCTCTGTATCCCATGCTCTCTCTCTGTATCCCATGCTCTCTCTCTGTATCCCATGCTCTCTCTCTGTATCCCATGCTCTCTCTCTGTGTCCCATGCTCTCTCTCTGTATCCCATGCTCTCTCTCTGTATCCCATGCTCTCTCTCTGTATCCCATGCTCTCTCTCTGTATCCCATGCTCTCTCTCTGTATCCCATGCTCTCTCTCTGTATCCCATGCTCTCTCTCTGTATCCCATGCTCTCTCTCTGTATCCCATGCTCTCTCTCTGTATCCCATGCTCTCTCTCTCTGTATCCCATGCTCTCTCTCTGTATCCCATGCTCTCTCTCTGTATCCCATGCTCTCTCTCTGTGTCCCATGCTCTCTCTCTGTGTCCCATGCTCTCTCTCTGTGTCCCATGCTCTCTCTCTGTGTCCCATGCTCTCTCTCTGTGTCCCATGCTCTCTCTCTGTATCCCATGCTCTCTCTCTCTGTATCCCATGCTCTCTCTCTGTATCCCATGCTCTCTCTCTGTATCCCATGCTCTCTCTGTATCCCATGCTCTCTCTCTGTATCCCATGCTGTCTCTCTGTATTCCATGCTCTCTCTCTGTATCCCATGCTCTCTCTCTGTATCCCATGCTCTCTCTCTCTGTATCCCATGCTCTCTCTCTGTATCCCATGCTCTCTCTCTGTATCCCATGCTCTCTCTCTGTATCCCATGCTCTCTCTCTGTATCCCATGCTCTCTCTCTGTATCCCATGCTCTCTCTCTGTATCCCATGCTCTCTCTCTGTATCCCATGCTCTCTCTCTGTATCCCATGCTCTCTCTCTGTATCCCATGCTCTCTCTCTGTATCCCAGGCATGGCCCGCCATTCCGCGTCTGCCTCTGTCAACTCATCAAATGCAATCGGCTCCATATCCACTAGATCCGTAAGAACACCATGCATCCATCAGCACCGCTGTGCATCCATCAGCACTGCTGTGCATCCATCAGCACTGCTGTGCATCCATCAGCACTGCTGTGCATCCATCAGCACTGCTGTGCATCCATCAGCACCTCCGTGCATCCTTCAGCACCACTGTGCATCCATTCACCCTGCGTTTGCTTGCTAAGAAATCTCATGCCAGCTCTTCTCTCACTCTCCCAACCCCCTTCCCCTCTCCATCCTCGCACTTTTGTATATCATTCAAACCCACACAACCCCTCCAAACCCCACACTACCCACCTCACAACCCCTCTAAACCACCCACCACCCCTCCTTCCCCTCCCATGTGCCTTCTGTTTCAGGACAAGTCAATATTCAGCCAGCCAAAGCAACTACTCCTACCTCCCCGCTCTCCCCCCCCCCCCCCTCCCCCCCCCTTCCCCCCCCAATCCTCCCCTAACCCCGCCTAAACTCCCCCACCCCCGTCTCCCCCTCCCCCCCCCCCAACACCCCCTTTTTCCCTCCCCCGCCCCTTCTGTTTCAGGACAAGTCAGTCTCAGCCAGCCAAAGCAACTCTGCAGGAGCAGGTGAGCCGTTGAATCAGACTTTGCGTTGAATCAGACTTTGCGTTGAATGAAATCGCTAAGTGCAGTACGCACATGCTTCTTTCCTATATGTATTCGTTTAGCTACTATGCCATCTCGTATAATCCGTCTCACATCCGATCCACCTTATTCCCGCTTTTCACTAATTTCCAGCTTCAACTGCCCCTCCGGACCCCTCCCCGTCCCCCTCCCCGTCCCCCTCCCCGTCCCCCTCCCCGTCCCCGTCCCCGTCCCCCTCCCCGTCCCCGTCCCCCTCCCCGTCCCCGTCCCTCTCCCCCTCCCCCTCCCCCTCCCCCTCCCACCCCCCCTCCTCCTCTATCTGCCCTCCCCTCACACTTCAATTCCGCTTTTGCAATACCCTCTTCCAACTTTCTCTTTTAATGCACTGCCCTGCCCTGCCCACTGCACTGCCCACTTTCCCATTCCCCCATGGGCCTCTTCCTCTCCCACCCCTTGCCTTGCCTTCCCCACCCCCGTCCAAATCGCCAGTGCTCTCTCGCTCTGGCTCCGTGGTTGAGTCTGCCTCTCCACCCGCTTCGCCTCACCAGCTCGCTGATATCGGCAGGTACGAGCGTGCGCTGTGTGTGAAACATGTGCGCTGTGTGTGAAACATGTGCGCTGTGTGTGAAACATGTGCGCTGTGTGTGAAACATGTGCGCTGTGTGTGTGGCATGAGTGTTGCATGCATGGCATGTGTCTTTTCTCTGCCCTCCCCACCCGCCTCGCCTCACCAGCTCGCTGATATTGGCAGGTAGGTACGAGGGTGCGCTGTGCGTGTGTGGCTTGTGCGTTGTGTGTGTGTTGCATGTGTGTCATGCGTGTGGCATATGTGTTTTCACATTCTATCCATTCACCCCTCACTCCTCATAGCTCCTCCTCCCTGGCCCCATTCACCTGCCACCCACTTCCTCCGCTTCCTCCCACCCACCACCCCTTGCCCACCCTCGTACCCGGAGGCACACAAGAGGCACATACCCAGCCTCCTACACGGGGTGACTTTTGAGTCGACACAAGAGGCACATACCCAGCCTCCTACACGGGGTGACTTTTGAGTCGACACAAGAGGCACATACCCAGCCTCCTACACGGGGTGACTTTTGAGTCGACACAAGAGGCACATACCCAGCCTCCTACACGGGGTGACTTTTGAGTCGACACAAGAGGCACATACCCAGCCTCCTACACGGGGTGACTTTTGAGTCGACACAAGAGGCACATACCCAGCCTCCTACACGGGGTGACTTTTGAGTCGACTCAAGAGGCACATACCCAGCCTCCTACACTCATACCCCCAACGGTGCTGCTGCTGCATGCGTGTTGCATGCATTGCGTATGCTGCCAACCTCCTCTCCCAATTCACCTCGTACTTCCTCCTTTTCCTCACCCCCTCCATTCCCAAACACAGAAGAGGCACATATCCAGCCACCCACACTCATACCCCCAACGGTGCTGCAGCTGCTGCTGGAAGCGGCCGTTACTATGAGGACTATGGCGACAGTGGTCGAGGGATGGGGGGAGACGCTCGGGGAGGAGGTGGAGGTGGTGCCGGTGGTGGTGGGATGCGGGGTGGGATGATAGGGGGAAGTGGGCAGTATGCTGTGGAGCCTCCAGGGTTCAGGGTTTACTAACATGGGAAGAAGGGGTTTTAGGAGCTGTGGAAGGATTATTCCGTGGCTGGGAAATAAGGCTGGAGTGGTACTGGCTTTACTGCTCTCTTGCCGTTTACTTCTTTTACTCAGGGCATCTCAGTTCTGAGGTGGTGCGTTTTTTGCTGCTAGGGTCACTGACAACCCAGCAGCTATGGCCATTGACTAACCTCTTGGGATATGGTGCTGATTGACATGGTGCAGTGTGTTGGGCTGAGATGCCCTAGGATCTTTGTAGAGTTAAAGTCTTAGTAGGATTGTAATAGCGGAAGCGTTTGAATGAAAAGTCCTTGAACCACCTTGCGCTAGTATGTGAGGGCAAAGTAAGTTGATTAAACAAGCAAATACAAAGGTTTATATAAGAGTACAAGGAATACGAATAGATATAATTTAATTGTTTTGCTGTTGCGATTCGATACAGTGCGACTCGGGCAACTGCTCAATGTCGAGTCAGTTGTGTGTCCTTGCTGTCGCGCTGTATTTGTCAAGTCAAAGGTCGCTGACTTTTGACCTTCGCGTAACCTCCAGGCGGTTACCCTAACCTCCAAAGGTTGACTCGCGATGCTTCGATTTGGACTGCTTCGCTTGTGTCCTGAGTTTCGACACGACAGAGGCGCTTTAAGACTTATTGTTCCCAACACTCCCCTTCGCTTCTGGAGTGTCGCTAATGGTGACGTGGCCTTGTCCAGTCAGCAGCATGCAGTACTCGAACTTCTGTTTTCCGAGTTTCTTGGTCAAGTAATCGGCTGCCATCTCGGACGTGGGACAGTAGGATAATTCGAGTTTCCCTTTCTCGATCTCGTCTTTCACGAAGAAGTATCGTAGAGCGATATGCTTCGTTCTGTTCGCGAATCCGCTTTTGTTGGCGATGCGAATTGCAGATTGGTTGTCGCAAAATAGGGTGAAGTTGGGTAACTCGGCTAACTTTGCTTCTTCCAGCAGCTCGCGAAGGTAGAGTCCTTCCTTGGTGGCTGAGCAGAGGGCGATATATTCTGCTTCAGCTGAAGAGAGAGCGATTAGTTCCTGCTTGCTCGACAGCCAGGAGATAGGTCCGATAGGCTCGAGACGATAGACGTAGCCAGTGCGAGAGCGCCTATTGTCGGAATCGCCGGCATGATCGGCATCGACGTAGCCGATTAGTTTCGTGGTCGTAGTTTCGTTTTTGTAGTAAGTCAGGCCGATCGTCGGAGTGCTCACGAAGTAGTGTAGTGCGCGATCGAGCTCCGCCAGGTGCTCTGCTTCGGGTTTCTTGAGGTAGGTAGCGAGTTGGCTTGCGGAGTAGGATAGATCCGGGCGGCAGGTGACGGCTGCGAAGAGGAGGCAGCCCAATTTCCTCTAATAGTCTCGTATTCCGGCAGCTTTGAGTGGAGCGGAATTTCCTTTCTTACTTCCTGCCGTGTAGCGGTATGGCGTGGCGATAGCGGTAGGTGTGAGCGAGAAGCGCTTGGCGATAGTGTCGGCGTATTTCTCGGCGCTTAAGTAGATAGCATTTTCTTCTTCACGGATGTTGAGCCCGAGGTACTGGGTGACGGTAGAAGAAACCGTGAGCGTGAGGTCCTTCTGCAGCTCCCCTTCGAACCAGGTGGTGATGTCGTCGGTGGAGCCGATGTAGAGTAGGTCGTCGACGTAGACGATCAGTAGGATGTAATCGGCGTCTTTAGTGAATCGATACATTCCTTGGTCGTGCGGCAGTTGGCGGAATCCGATGCGAGTGAGTCGGGTGTGTAGGTGCTGTTGCCACAGCCGCGGGGCTTGTTTGATTCCGTAGAGCGATTTCAGTAGCTGGCAGACCTGATTGGGGTTTCCGTGGGTACCGTGTGGGAGTTTGACGAAGATTTCGGCGTCGACGGGTGCGTAGAGAAATGCGTTGGCGACATCGATTTGTCGCGGTTTCTTCTTCTCCATGGCGGCAACGGCGAGAAGAATTCGAAGAGAGGTATGTCGACTAACTGGGGCGAATGTCTCGGTGAAGTCTCGTCCTTGCTCTTGGTCGAATCCACGCACGACCCAGCGTGCTTTGAACTTCTCGATTGTGCCGTCTGCTTTCGTTTTGATGCGGAAGACCCATTTCCCGGTGAGAATGGTCTTGTTCCTTGCCACGCTTGCGGGAACGACCTTCCAGGTGTTGCGTTCCTCCAGTGCCTTTAACTCTCTGTCCATGGCTTCGCGCCATTTCTCCATGTGTTCCCCCCCCAGAGCCTGCTGAACCGTCGCAGGCTCCTTAGGAAGTGCGTTGCCGTGGACTGCGGTGACGAGGCCGAGGATTTGCAGTCCAGTCTGTGAGTATCGGGGGAGTGTGGGATCCTCGGGATAAGTTGCTTCGTCTCCCGCTTCTGGATCGGGTATGAAATTTGGCCCTATCCGTTCTGCTTCGTTTGTGTTGACTATCGCAGGTGTTACGTAACCGTTGTCGGCGAAGTGATAGAAGACTTCGGCGTTGACACTGTCGCGAGGATTGTCTTCGTCCATGGGCACGTCGACGGAGCAGTACGGGAGAGGTCCGGTTTCTTCCGATGCGTTGTCGACGTTCTGTTCATCCCAGTCTGCTTCGTCCGCTGCTGAGGCGAAGGCTCGGTCACCACGAAAACCACCTGTGGGGTCCTGATTCTCGTGCAAGTTGGCGAGGTACGTTTGAAGGGTGAGTCGCTCGTAGAAGATCACATCACGTGCTGCTACTGTTTCCTTTGAGTGGACATCGAAAATTTTCCACGCGTTGTAATTTTTCTCGATGCCGAGGTGTAGTCCCCACTGTGCCCGTTGTGAAAATCTCCCCGCTCGTGCTTCTGGGGGTCGGTACTGCACCATGCATCCGAAAACTCGTAACATTCTTGTGCTGCCCTGCTTTCCTGTCCACAGCAGATGCGGTGATGCGTTGTTCGGGAGTGACGACGACGACAGCAAGTTGTGCAGCATGACAGCATGGTCCATTGCTGCAGGCCACTGGTAGTTGGGTAGCCGCATGCACGTAGCAGTTTGCGCATGCTGTTCTGCAGAGTCCTGTTCATTCTTTCTGCAACACCTTGCTGCTGATGGGCGTAGGGAAGGGAGAGGAGTTGCTTGATTCCCCTTTCCGTCAGGTACTGCTTGAAGCGCTGAGAGGTGTATTCTCCTCCTCCGTCTGACTGGAAGCTTTTCAACTGTGTTCCTGACTCCCTCTCTGCTACCGGTAGCCAAGCGGCGAACGCTGCGAGTGTCATGTCGCGGCTGGGTAGGTTTCGATGCCAGACGTATCGAGTGGCGGCGTCGATGAAGGTTATAGTGTAATTGTAGGTGAGTTGTCCTGGTTCTCGATTGAAGAGGATGTCGCTGTATACTTTCTCGAGTGGTGCGTATGCAGGTGCGCTCGGGTTGTGGTGAGAAGAAAACGGTCGATGGGGTAAGTCGGCTTCGGGGCAGATGAGGCAAGTTCCTCGTGCCCGTTGAAGTTCTCTGCCGTCGGGTAGTAGTAGCGAATCTTTGTCGAGGACTCCTGTTCGTATTGTGTTATTTAATACTGTGTTGCTTGGATGTCCTGTGCGTGCGTGCCAGATGTCTTCAGGAGCGCGATGTCCGGGTGAGCGTTGATACGCGTCGGAGTTGGAGTAGAAGCTGGCGACGACATTGGCGTTTCTGTGGACTTCTCGTTGAGTCGGGTTCAGTTGCTGTGCGGGTGTTGGTGGTGCTTCGTCGACGATGACTGGTGTCGTTGGTCCTGCTGCTGCCGATGATGTTTCTGCTGCTGTCGATGTTGTCTCTGCTACTGCCGTTTGTTGAATTGTTGCTAACGCTCGTGTTCGTTCTGCTTCAGGGATGGTGTGCGAGTACCAGAAACCTCCCGGGCTGAAGTCGGGATCGAGATCCGGGAGATGTGTCCAATCGGCGAAGTTGACGATGGCGTCGCTATCTGCAGTGCCAAGGTCGGGGACGAAATCGATGACGAAGACGTTGTTCTTCAAAACTGCTCTTCCGATGTAAAGGCCGCCCTTCCCGTGGTACAGTTTAAACTCCTGGGTGGTGCTGTCGGCTTCCAAGTGGATGCCTTTCGCCATCAGCTGGCTGACACTCAGTAAGTTATAACCGAGTCCTTCTGCGATGAGTACCTTTGACATGTGCAGTTTTAGTAGCGGGTCAATGCGCCTATAACCCCCCATGCAAACGCGCCTGTAACCCCCCCTAGGATCGATCGGGGATCTCACAGTGTAGCTCTACTGACACCCCCCCACACTGGGAGGCCCAGGACTGAGCACAGTGGCAACGGCCAACATGTGCATACACCGGGATTCGAACCCGAGATCGCTCTGATACCATGTCAGAATCCCAACCACTAGACCATTGGGATAAAAGGGCTTGTTTCAGTAGCGGGTCAGTGCGCCCATAACCCCCCAGGCAAACGCGCCTGTAACCCCCCCTAGGATCGATCGGGGATCTCACAGTGTAGCTCTACTGACATCCATATCCTGCTGCTCGGCATGAATTTTGGCGCAGAGTGCCGCTTCGGAAATCCTCCCGTGTGCTCGTAATATGGCGCGAGTGGAGCGCTAGTGGGGGCCGAGACCGCCGATGACCACCGTGACAAAGGCGTCTTCTGAAATCGACCCTCCGCATCGAAGAAGCTTGTCGCGCAGTTCGCGGCAGCGGCTGATATAAGCCATGCCTTTCTCGCCTGGTTTCATTTCAATTCTTGTCAACTGCGCCATTAACCTGCTTTGATTTACGCTGTCTGTTGCTTGATACAGGTTCTTCAGGTGGTTGTACGCGAGCTCCGCGGAGTTGTCGTAGCCTCGGTAAGTCCTGATGTTCTGCTGCTGGGTCAGGGTGATGTTTCTTAGCAGTATCGTGTACGCCATCATTGATTGATAGGTGTATTGCTGCTTCTCATATTGTGTCCCGTTTGTTGGATATGGCAGGGACCCGTCGAAGAAGTCGAGAATCTGTGCTCCTTCCATCATCAGTTCGAACTCGAACGACCAGGTGAAGAAGTCTTTTCCGTCGAAAGGCTTTGTCGTTTGAAGCTTGAGAACATGCGCGAATTGCGATTGAACTTGTAATGCGTCCAATGCCCTTTCTTGTCCCGGTGCAGATTGCGGTTGCGGCATGAAGCTGACGGAGCCACGCTGGGGCTCGTACGGCGCAAAGGTAGGCTGCTGTTGTTTGTTGTTGTTGAATTCCGCGTGCGTAGGATGAGCCGTCGAGACTCATAGGAGTTACGTTGTTGTTATTGCTGTTGTTTGACTGCGCAGGTACTCCTTGCTGGTGCTGCTCGTAGAAGGATATGAAGGATAAGAATTTCTCCATCATGCTTGGATCGAAGCCTGCGGGCGTTTCCGTAGACCCAGCTGCTGGTCTCGTGGTAGTTCCTTCTTCCGTCTGTAGACCAGAGACAGGAGGTGGAGTAGGGGTAGTGCCTGGAGAACCGTTGGAGGAGCTCCTCTCCTTCCTAGTAGACATGTCTTCCTTGTATTAAGTATTAAGAGAAAAGGTAACTTTGAACTCTATCTGCTCTGATACCATGTTGGGCTGAGATGCCCTAGGATCTTTGTAGAGTTAAAGTCTGAGTAGGATTGTAATAGCGGAAGCGTTTGAATGAAAAGTCCTTGAACCACCTTGCGCTAGTATGTGAGGGCAAAGTGAGTTAATTAAAACAAGCAAATACAAGGCTTTATATAAGAGTACAAGGAATACGAATAGATATAATTAAACTGTTTTGCTGTTGCGATTCGATACAGTGCGACTCAGGCAACTGCTCAATGTCGAGTCAGTTGTGTGTCCTTGCTGTCGCGCTGTATTTGTCAAGTCAAAGGTCGCTGACTTTTGACCTTCGCGTAACCTCCAGGCGGTTACCCTAACCTCCGAGGGTTGACTCGCGATGCTTCGATTTGGACTGCTTCGCTTGTGTCCTGAGTTTCGACACGACAGAGGCGTTGTAAGACTTATTGTTCCCAACACAGTGTAGCACCCTCATTCAAATGGGCTTTCTTTTTTCTTTTGGCTAATTGAGAGCGATGGTTGCATTGAAGCCAAATGGTTGCGCTAGTGTACATGTTTGGTATCTGAAACCTACACCCTACTGTTCCGCAAGTACACCCTGTTTCTCGCTACACTGAACTGCGGAAACACACTAAACAGTGGAACTGTTCCTTGGACGTATTCGAAAAGTTTACAATAACCGTCTCTAGGAGGTGGGTGATCAGAAATTTTGGCGAGCCATACCGAGCCATATTAAAAAATCAACCGACCGCCTTCAAAGGTAGCTGACCTCGTCAAACCGAACTGGTGCAAAAGTTGACTATAGCGCGCATTTTGGCGCGTTGAGCCACAGGGTTCAGTATACCGGAATCCACAATAGCGAGAAACAGGGTGCACAGTAGAAGATCTACAAAAGAGAACCGACATATTTTACCACCTACCAACTCCGCTACTGTGTGACGCGCATCCGCTTCGCATCTCCCCCGAATTCACCCAGGCGGAGCGGAGATCGGGTCCGCTCGCGGTAAAAAGTGTTCCCCGCGCCAAATCCCGCTTTCCGCTACGCTTGTGTAGTTCAAGCACACATGTACGGCCATCCATCTGTCAGAGCTACTTCCTCCTGGTTGGTTCACCTGAATGACATGGCATATCACCAAGCTCTGTAAAATGGTTCAGAGGTTTTATATACGCTCCAGAGCTTAGACACTTCGGTTCGGGAATATATGTGTTCACACGTTATCTACACACCCTCACTTCCAAACCTAACCTTGGGATGCTCGCAGTGCTTTCAACAAATACACAAGTTGCTGGGTCAACTTGACAGATACACGTACGGGGAATGGAATTCCCGAGAGTTCAGGGAATCAGAACCAGAGCGGTGTTCTGTTCTCAAGGCTGGATAGTAGAGAACTGAAATTAGGTACGGACGCTAGTGATTGAAATGCAGCGACTTTGATATTCTGGTTGGGGCTCGAGGGGCTCAGGCACTAGAGAATATTCCGCATTGTTCGTTCTTCTGCGATGCGTTCAACGAAACATCAGCGTTGGCGACAATGGAAGGTTAGTAGTTGATTCTCTGGAAATACTCAATGCTCTTTCATGAATTGGCCTGTTTCTTGACGGCGCACCGTAGTCAATAAAGTGATATCACATTCGTACGTATGCTGCAATGACAAGTGTGCTGATAACGGTAAGCATTTTGTTCAATGCCTGAATCAGGTCTCAATGCGTGCTTATCATAGTTCTCGAAAATGCAGCGAAAAGGGGACATCCAGCTTATTCCAAAGTTTCGTCCCCATTATTCCCATTCTTCCGCAGAGACTCGTTAAGGCGCTCACCTAAGTACATCACCCCTGCTAGCCGAAGATAATCCGCCCTGTTACACTCTGCGATTGCGGAGATCCTTCGCTGATGCTATCTGCTGCGTATACGACGGCACCTGATGCTGCAAATGGTCAAGATTGGAAGTAGTAGAAAAGATGCGAGCAAGTGGTGACTTGAAGCAGCATTTGGGATTGCGATTAGAGATTAAAACTTGTTAATTTAAGACTGAAGAGCAGGAATTAATAAAAAGTGAGCGCTATATCAGACTTTGCGTCTGCGGAGCAGGTATGATGAGAGACTGAAGTGCTATACCCTAGATTCGACTCTCTGGCTCAGGCAACACTCGTCTGCTCGAGCGTTCGGTATGATCAGAGACGGGAGGCTAGCGGCAGCTGTGGCTGCGGCTAAGGCGGCAGCAGCTGAGAAGGAAGCAGCGGCAGAGAGAGCAGCAGCGGCAGAGAGAACAGCATCGGGAGAGGAAGAGAGAACAGCAAAAGCAAGTGAAACGACGGCACAGGTCCCACCAGGATACACCGGTGCTGCAAATTCTATTGCCTCTGCTGACGCAGCAGGACTGGTTAGCGATGGACGGTTGGCGGCAGCTGTGGCGGCTGCAAAAGCAGCAGAAGCAGCCACAGCGGAGAGAGCAGCAGCAGGGGGAGAAGCAAACGAGCCGGCACAGGGAGGCCTAGGCGCCACCGGCGGTGCAGATTTATTGGCTTCTGCTGGAGCAGCAGGTGTTATCAGAGATGGACGGCTGGTGGCGGCTGTGCCTTCAGATGGACGGTTGGCAGCAGCCGTGGCTTCTGCAAAAGCAGCAGCAGAAATGGAGAGAGCCGTGAAAGAAGCAGCAGAGCGGATTGGAGATCCCAATGCTGCTGCGGGTACCACTGCGTCTGGTGGTGCGGTGACTCCGTTGACCACGTTGACCAGCCAGGGGGCTGAAAGCAGGGCGAACATTGGGCAAGGGAGGGCTGTGGCAGGGGAGGGGAGGACCGCGTCGCTTACGAGGTTAGAGGCGAGAAGGTACAGCGGTAGAGAGGGTGAACGAGGGGTGGAGCGTGGTGGAGAGGGGCGGAGGCGGACACGGAGCAACGTATCTCTGATGGACACAGGGGTAAGGGACTCTTGAGCCATCTCGAAACCTCGTTATGATGTGATTGGTGCTGTTTATCTATCTACCCACCTTCCAGGACTTACGCCGAAAACATGAAGTTTGCATCTTATGGTCCGTCTGTGTGCCTGCCTTGCAGGTGCTGCGGCTGGAGGAAGAGGTAGAGAGGGAGCTGGCGTTAAAAGTATTAAGGAATTTGTTACTGTCATGTCATTGCACACACCTTCCGTGCCCACTAACAACTTGCAGGTGCTGCGGCTGGAGGAGGAGGTAGAGAGGGAGCTGGCGAGGCAGGAGAAGCTGGTGGAGCTGATTGCTGTGGCAGGCGCTGACATGCCCACGCTGCCCGTGCAGGTGAGAACTAAGTTAGGGGAAGGCTGGGGCAGGGAAAGGCCAGGGAAGGTGCAAACCGAGGCAGGAGAAGCTGGTGGAGCTGATTGCCGTGGCAGGCGCTGACATGCCCACACTGCCCGTGCAGGTGAGAACTAAGTTGGGGGAAGGCTGGGGCAGGGAAGAGCCAGGGAAGGTGCAAATCGAGGCAGGAGAAACTGGTGGAGCTGATTGCTGTGGCAGGTGCTGACATGCCCACGCTGCCCGTGCAGGTGAGAACTAGGGCAGGGGAAAAATGGGGCAGGTGAAACTCAGCAAAAGCCCAAACCAGGGCTGGTGAAAAACGAGGCAGGTAAGAACTGGGACAGGTTGGACAGGTGAGAAGTGGGACAGGTGAGAAGTGGGACAGGTGATAACTGGGACAGTTGATAACTGGGACAGGTGATAACTGGGACAGTTGATAACTGGGACAGGTGATAACTGGGACAGTTGATAACTGGGACAGGTGATAACTGGGACAGTTGATAACTGGGACAGGTGATAACTGGGACAGTTTATAACTGGGACAGGTGAGAACCGTGGCAGGAGAAGCGCCCATCCCCCATCCCCCGTCCATCCCCCACACTTAAAACTACTGGAGGAGCAGGACCGAGCCGAGAGGCGGCTACACAGGGACGTGCATCACTGGGGCGACGAGGTGGCACACACATGTAAGCTGCTGCTGCAGCCTTGCTCTAGAGTCACCCTTTCCATTTTCCCCAATCCGTCCCCGACACTCGTGCCAACAGGAGGAGCAGGACCGGGCAGAGCGGCAGCTTCATAGAGACGTGCATCACTGGGGGGACGAGGTGGCGCAGACACGCAAGCTGCTGCTGGAGCTGACGGTAGAGAGGGTGAACCTGGAGCGGGCGCTGGAGCAGGTGCACTGGGCCGTGGGGTCTCCTGGTGCTGTGCGCGCTGTTCACACTGCACAAATGCAACTGTAAGTCTGCCTTGGATGTGGCTGGGTGTGAAAAAGGGTGGGCAGACGCGCCAGGTGCCGCGGCTGCTTGAACTGACGTTAGGGGGGGTCCAGCTCGTACATTTACTGTTCGTAAACCCCCTCAGTTACCACATTTTTTGTGGTAACCCTTTATTGAACGTGTCCAGCGGACACAACCAGCTTCTGTTCGCAAGACGGCACGCCCCATGCACGTACCTAGAGTCGTCTGACTCACGTTACTGGAATCAGCAGGGACGCGAACAAGGGTACAGCACCGCGTCCTGGCCACTACAGTTCGTTTCCCTTGTATCGCTTGCACGATTTCGTCAGTGGTTCGCTCTACTCGCCAGCGCCCCCTGCGCCTGCACAAAAATTTTCAAGCTATGATTGACGAGGGAAACTGTTACCTCGTTTTCAACGTGGTCAGAGCACTGTTGATTCGTGTGGCGGGGAATGTGTCCGCGCTTCTAAAATTACAGGATGGTTGGACTCCACTCACAATGCATTCGTTTCTAGGTACGGTAGTCATTTTTGTACCTCGATACGTGCGTTGGCACGAAAAATCCCGAAATGAACGAACTGGACACGCCCTTAGAGAGGGTCGACCTGGACTGGAGCCAGCACTGGAGCAGGTGCACTGGGCCGTGGAGTCTCCTGGGGCAGTCCGTGCCGTTCACACCGCTCAGGTGCAACTGTGAGTTTGCATTGGAGGTGGGCGGGTGTGGGGTTGGGTGGGAGTGGGGGTGGCTGGGCCAGACGCGCAGCTGCTGCTGCTGGAGCTGACGGTGGAAAGGGTCAACCTGGAGCAGTGCTGGAGCAGGTGCACTGGGCCGTGGGGTCGCCTGGTGCCGTGCGCGCCGTTCGCACTGCTCAGATGCAACTGTGAGTTTGCCTTGGATGTGGCTGGGTGGGTGTGGATGTGGGTGTGGGTGTGGGTGGGTGGGTGTGGGTGTGGGTGTGGGTGGGTGGGTGTGGGTGTGGGTGTGGGTGTGGGTGTGGGTGGGTGGGTGTGGGAGTGGGTGTGGGTGGGTGGGTGTGGGAGTGGGTGTGGGTGGGTGGGTGTGGAGGTGGGTAAGCCAAACGCATCAGCTGCCGCTGCTGCTGGAGCTGATCGTTTGGAGGGTCAACGTGGAGTGCTCTGGAGCAGGTGCACTGGGCTGTGGGGTTTCCAGGGGCAGTTCGTGCTGTTCACACTGCCCAGATACTCCTATGTGTCTGGGTTATGGGCGGTTTATGGGGGTGGGTGTGGAGGTGGTTGGGTGGGTGACCGCACAGATGCAGCTATGAGTGGGGGAAAGTGGGTGCTTGCGTAGGGTTTTGTGTGCTTGTGTGTGCGTGCATGCCTGTGCTGGGACCATACTGTGTGTTTTGAGCACATGAGCACAGCGGCTGCCGCTGTGTGTTTAGTCGACTCAAGCCACACCTTTCGTCTGTTCATGTCTCTCTTTGTCTTTCCGAGCTGTGTACACACAGGCTGCAGTTGACTGCGCAGAGAGAGGTTCTCAAGGAGCTGATTCAGAACGAGAAGAAGGAGAATGAGAAGGTGCGTTTCTTAAGGGAAAGGGAAAGGGGAAGAATAACAGGGAGAAGGACTACCAGGGGTGAGCGCACAGCAGAGGTTGCAGCTGACAGCACAGCGGGAGGCTTTCAAGGAGCTGATTCAGAAGTAGAGGAAGGAGAACAACGTCACTTCTGAGAATTCTCAGAAGATGTTACTTTTGCAGAGTAGAAAGAGGTTTCAAACCGCAGCAAGCCGTGGGTCTCCGTAAGAGTTTCAGGCGGAATGCTTTGTAGAGTTACCCACTACACTTACGGAGGCCCATGGCTTGCTGCAGTTCGAAACTGTTTTCTATTTTCAAAGGAGAAGAAAAGGGGAAGAGGGAACAGGGTAGAGGGGCAGAGGAATCCTAGGAGAGTGGCAAAGGGGGGGCAGGGAGGAGCAGAGAAGGGCAGGGATGGGCAGACAGGGGCAGAGGGGGCCAGAAGGGTTGAGCTAATGTGCAAAACGTTGGAAAGTGAGGGAAGCGGAGCCTGCCTATATGTGTTGTGCTGTGCTATATGTGTTGTGCTGTGCTATATGTGTTGTGCTGTGCTATATTTGTTGTGCTGTGCTATATGTGTTGTGCTGTGCTATATGTGTTGTGCTGTGCTATATGTGTTGTGCTGTGCTATATGTGTTGTGCTGTGCTATATGTGTTGTGCTGTGCTATATGTGTTGTGCTGTGCTATATGTGTTGTGCTGTGCTATATGTGTTGTGCTGTGCTATATGTGTTGTGTAGGTGTGGCACGCACGTGCTGTTCTGTTCTTCACGTGCTGGTACACTGTCACCTTCTGAGACATGCCAGTGAATCTTCCTGCCAGTGAATCTTCCTGAGTGACCCTCTCTTTCCTCTTGCTTCTTCGTCCCTCTCTCCCCCCAAGGTGGGAGAGTTTCTGGATCAGATCCTCAGTGACCCTGCAGTAGATACCACCTCCCCCGGCCCCAACTGCATATTTTCAGGCATTCCACCGCTGCCCTTTTTTTACATACAGCAGCGCTCTCGCCTTCTTGCTCCCCCCTTCCTCCTCCCTCCCCCTCTCCCCCTCAGGTGGAAGAGTTTCTGGACCAGATCCTGAGTGACCCTGCGGTAGATACCACCTCCCCCGAATTCGCCTCCCTCATCAAGGACCTTATCCACACGCTCAGCACCAGCCCCCCTGTTCTCCCAGCTGCCACTGCTGCCATTGGCGCCGCCTCTGCTGCTGCTTTTGCTGCCTTTGCCACTGCTTCGGCTGCTGCCGGGAGTGCGGGCGGCGGGGGAATAGGAGGGGTAGGGAGAGGAGGAGGTGGAGTAGGAGGAGGAGGTGGGGGGGAATTGCACTCTGCTTCTGTTGCCCCCTCTGGTAGTGGCGGTGCTGCTTCTCGGGCGTCTATCCTGGGGCATAGCTATTCTACCCTGAGTGCTAATACCCAGGTGCATCGGCTGAAGGACCTTATAAAGGATGTGACTGATTTGAAGGGGGCGAGAGAGGGGGGGAGGCGAAGGAGAGGGGGGAGCGGGTCGTGGGAGGAGATTGGGAAGAGGCTAGAGGCAGAAGGGGGGGGAGGGGGAGGGGGAGGGGGAGGGGAGAGCATGGGGAGTGTGGACTGGCAGGGGCGAACGGGGTTAGAGGATGGGAGCGAGGGTCATACAATGGGGGGAGGAGGCAAAGGAGGAGGCGCAAGTGGGGGCGCAGGGGGGAAGTCCCGTCTGAAAGTGCTTCAGAAGCTGAAGAAAAAGGTGAGCGGGGCAGGCGTGGGGCCGTGGGGAGGAGAGGGGGGAGCTGGAGGCGCAGGGGGAGGCGGAGGGGGCGGCGGAGGGGGAGAGGAGGCGGGAGATGGGGATGAGATGCATGGATATCTGCCTGGTGGAGGGGTGGTGTCGCCAAGAGGGGGAGAGGGAGGGGGTTCAGCTTGGGGTGGGAAAGCGGGAGCACATCTTAGGACTGGCAGCAGTGGTGATCCTGGTGCTGTGACCGGTATTGGGTTTAGTGTTGGTGCTAGTGGCGCTGCTGCTGGTGCTGCTGCTGGTGCTGCTGGTGGGGCTGGGAACAGCAGTGGTCACCCAGGTGCTGGTTACCCGGTTACCAGCAGCACCAAGCCTTTGAGTAGGGGCATGTCTCCGTTTAGGAACCTGGGCCGGTATTTATCGTCCACTGAAGCAGACCTTAAAGCCCTGGCTGATGGTGCAGTGGGGAAAACCGGGGTTAGGATGGTGCGTGGGCGGCGTGTTTCGGATGTGCCCTTGCAGTCGGACCGAGATATCAGCAGCAGCAGCACTCACAGCAGGAAAAAGGTTCCGAGCTACCCTGGCAGAGGGGAGGTGGAAGATGACAAGGAAGGGGGGATGAGAAGAGGGGAAGGAAGAGACGGAAGAGGAGGAAGAGAGGGAGAGTTGGCTGAGGAAGAGGACGACTCCTTGCTGCCTCAAGCTATAAGGGCCGCCACTCAGCCAACCCTCAAGCGCTCCTTGGCTCGCCGCGCATCCGACACGAGACAGGACCTCAATAACCTGGATTTTCCTGTGCCAGGGCTTGCTGACCTGCCTCCCTACGCTGCTGCTGAGCTTGCTGAGCTTTCCAGTGGTGCGAGTGGGAGTGAGTCTCTTGTGCGAGCCCATACAGGAAAGGATCGGGGCAGGTCTGCGGTGGTATCAGGGCTTGCAGCATTGGATTTTAAGCTTGGAGCTGCTGGGGGGAAGGGAAGGGAGGGAGGTGAAGGGGGGGAGGGAGTGAAGGGGCAGGTGGGAGGGGAAGGAAGGCAGGAGAGAAGGGCGGGAAGGCGAGAAGGAGGTGATTCCGTCTTACAGGGAGAGGAGGGAGAGGAAAGCGAGGAGGGAGAGGAGGGAGAGGAGGGAGAGGAGGGGGACGAGGGTGAGCAAGAGGAGGAAGAGCGGGGAGAGGGTGAGGAGGAGGAGGAAGAAGAGGAAGTGATGGAGAACATAGCACATGGCGCATGCTCTCCTGGGGTGTTCTCTCGGTTCAACCGCAGCACCTCTGCCATCCACCGCACTGCCTTCCCTGCTGCTAACACTCACGCTCCTCCTAGTGCCGACCATGTGCGAGCGCATGGGCATGAGGTGAATTGGAAAGAGGGACCTGAGGGGGTTACTCCGAGGCAGAGGAGTGGCGGCGATGCTGCTGCTGCTGCTGCTGCTGCTGCTGTTGCTGTTGCTGTTGCGCTCAGGTCCCGCTCCATGCGTGAGGGTTCAAAGGGCTTTGAGGGTTTCGACCGGGCAGGGGAATCATCAAAGTACCAGGATGGATCGATGGGTTCGTCTGACGCAGGTCAGGGCATCACCCTTGCTCCGACCTCCCTCGTGCCCTCCATGCTGCTTGCAAGCAGCAAGAGCCCTGAGCGCATGCGCCCCTCTCTCTCTTTCCGCCGAGCAAAAACTCCCGAGAGACACCATTCGTACAGCCCTACTACTCACTCCTTCTCCCCTTCCTCCTCCTCGTCCTCCTCCCGCCCTCGCTCCCCTCTGGGTAAGATGCTGTCGTTTGCGGTCCGGCATGCTCCGGGCATACACGCTGGTTATGCTCGGAACAATTCCGAACCTGGTGGTGTTGCAGCCGGATTCGTTCGGAACAATTCCGAACCTGGTGATGAGGCTCAGGATGGCTTGTTCAGTGACCGAGCCAGGTCTGGCCTGTCCGATGGTTCGGAGAATGTTTTCGGCTGGGGAGGGCAGGGAGGTTCGGTGAGTTTCAGAATAGAGGATCAAGACGAGAGGGAAGGGGAGCAGAGAGGGCCGTTATTTACTGGAAGAGAGGACAAGGGAACTGGAGAAGCCTCCAAGGATCAGGACGGAAGCTGCAGGGCGGAACAGCCTAATGTGCTTGTATTAGATGATGACTATACAGGGGAGGAAGGAGGCACAAGCCCCACTGATGAAAATGCAGCAGATCTTGCTGGAGATTCTCAATCTGCCGCAGACCATCGGAAGTTCCAGGCCGTTGGATCTTTCTCCGAGATGGTGCTGGGGGGACTGGAAGGGAGGGTAGGGGAGGGAGAGGACGGATGGGCAAAGGCAAGGGGTGCAAATCAGCAGGAGATTCGGGAGGAGGATGGAGAATGCGATGAGGGGGAGGGGGGGGGCGTACACCTGCGGGGGCAGGAGGAAAACATCTTTGGGTCGACTCAAGATGGGATGGCGTGTGAGGGGAAAGAGGAAGGGAAAGGAGAGGGGGAAGGGGATGGCGAGATGGATGTAGAAGCTTTTGTTAAAGGAGAGAGTGAGGGCAGGGTGGGGTGGGAAGTGGGTGGTCGTGGAGAGGTAATGGAGGAGGAGGAATTTTCTATTACGAGCGCTCTGCAGCAGCAGGAGCAGCAGCAGCAGCAGCAGTATCTATCAGCAATGCTAGAAAACCTGATCGCTGCAACCGAGGCAGAGCTTGCAGGCAAAGGAAAGAAGGAGCAGGGGAAGAAGAGCAAGGAAGGGAAGGAGAAGAAGAGTCGAGGATTCTCCAAGCGAGGCAACAAGGAAGCTAAGGCGAGTAGCGGCGGCGGCAGCGGCGGTGGGTCTGGATTTGATTTCAGCTTGCTTGGAGGATCTGTAGCTGGGGGGCCTTCTGGGGGTGGAATGGCAGGAAGTGATAGTGTGTGTGGTAGCATTGGAATTGGTGCAGCAGCAGGTTCGGCTCCGCCACGCTCTCAGCAACACCCCAAGCCCCCGCTTGGTTCGGCGCCAGGCTCGGGAGCAGCCTCGGCAGCAGCCGAACCTGGCAGCGGTGCGGCAGCGCCCAGCAGCAATGTGTTTGTGAAGATCGACTCGCCGGAGCAGTGGACGTCTGCTGACGTGGCAGGCTTGCGTTCGTCATCAGGCATGGATTTGCCAAGCCTTTCCGGACCTGCTGCCGAGCCTATGTCCGGGCCCGAGCTGCTAAGCCCAAGGAGGACGAAGAGCGTAGGCTCGGTAAAGGAGAAGGGGGTGGGCCTAGCTTCAGAGTTCGATGTGGGGTCTGGTTCGGGACTGATAGCCCCCATTGCCATGGGAACTACTTGTTTACGGGCAGATGAAGGGGCAGATCGGGCAGGTGGGGAAAAAGACGAAGGCGCACCTGTACCCCTTCAATCTCCACCTAGTGTACATGAGCCTGTTATGCCTGGGGTATCACCTGAGGTAACACCTGAAATATCACCTGAGACGTCACCTGAGCCAAGGCCACGCATACCACCCGTCTCCACTGCTGAAGTCCCTGCAACCGAACTGGTAACCAGAACTGGCGAAAAGTTATGCACAAGCGGCACCACCGGCAGCAGCACTGGCACTACCAGCGGCACAAGCAGCATCACAAGGAACAGCACCAGTGGCACCGGTGCCAGTGCTGCAGCACACGTGGCCTTTGCTCCCCCACCTCCATCCGCCACCCAAACCTCCTCCTCCCACGCTGCAGAGTCCTCCTCTCGCAAATCCTTCCGGAAATCCCTGGCCAAGTCCATCAACCATCTCCAAAAAACCATCAAAAACACCTCCTCCTCCACTCGCCTCTCCTCTCTCCCTGCCACCGACTCGGCCCCCCTCTCTCTCGAGCTAGACGACTACCGATCCCGCCCATGTGCACTCTCAGAGGAGATGCTGAAATCCATTGCGACCATCTACCTGCACCATGCACACCCGGCTGTGTGGGGGCTGGGGGAGGGGCAGAAACGCGCTGCCGCCCTCCTGCTCGCGTCAGAGGAGGCCCGTGCCACGTCGGATTCAGCCCGTGCCACGTCGGATTCAGCCCGTGTCATGTCGGATTCGGTCCGTGCCACGTCAGACGAGGCCCGTGGTGTGTTGGAGCAGGAGCGGGCGGGAGGGGGGGAGGAGGCGGCCAGTGGAAGAGGAGGGCCGAGTAAGGCGAAGGAGGGAGCAGAGGGAGGAGAGAAAGGAGGTAGAGGCGAGAGATTTGGTGATGGTGATGATAGCGGTGCCAGCACCGATACTTTAAGCCCCCTAAAAACCCAGGATGATCCGGATTTCAGCAGCACAGCCACACTTCCTCCCATCACCCCCTCCTTCCCACCTCTCACTCCCTCCTTCCCCCCTCTCACTCCCTCCCTCACTCCCTCTCTCTCGAAAAAGCCCTCTCTCTTCGCATCAGACTCAGGCTCTAAGTCCCGGAGGGGCCTGGCTCTAGCCTCTGCTACAGCCAAGTCTGCTACAGCCAAAGCGCCCCAGTGGCTGCGGTCGGCGTTTCCCGGGGGCAAGCAGGGAGGTGGAGGGGCAGCGGACGAGAGAGGGTGGGAGGGGATGGAAGAACCAGGTATACCTGAGGCGGGTTCATCTGCTGCTGCTTCTGGCGCTACTGTAGCAGACACAGGAGCAGCAGCCGCAGCGGCATCTGTTCCAGAAGCAGGGTTTGCGGGGGATAGACAACCGGAAGGGGTTTTTGAGGCTAACCAGAAGAGGCCGGACGGGTTTGTGGATCCGTATGGGGCGTTGGAGGGGCATCCCTCCCTGCCGGTGGTGGGGGCGTACAGCAGTGCCATGGAGGTCACTGCTGTGCCTCCTCCTGAATCATTCACCAGTGCTGATGTCTTCCTGTTGTGCCGTTACCGGTGAGTGCCCTCTGAACCAGGAACCTAAGGTGAGGGGATGCTGAGTATGGCTGTATAGTTGGAGGGGCATGGAGGCGTCTGCCGGTGGTGGGGGCGTACAGCAGTGCCATGGAGTGGAGATCACTCCTGTGCCTCCTCCTGAGTCCTTTACCAGCGCCGATGTGTTCCTTCTCTGCCGCTATAGGTGAGTGCTGTGCTGTCAGGGAGGTCACTTTTGTGCAGATACGGGTAAGGACCAATGTACCTGAGGGTGCAGTGCATCCCTGCCTGCCAGTGGTGGGGGCGTACAGCAGTGCCATGGAGGCCACTGCTGTGCCTCGTTCCGAATCCTTCACCAGCGCAAACGTCTTCCTTCTCTGTAGATACCAGTGAGTGTGTTGTGCCGCTGAGTGTGTTGTGCCGCTGAGTGTGCTGCTGCTGGTGCCAAGGTCAACGTGGCATTCAAATCGGACTCTTTTTCCGCTCTTCCTGCTCTCCTCGCCCTCCCTGCCCTTACAATCCATGGTATCTTGATGCGGGCGGAGCAGCTGGACAATGTCAGCCCGGCGCTGCTGTCGAGGTGCCACTGTCATTGTTTTTAGCCCTTGCTCCCTGCTCTCCCTGCCCTGCCCTCCCTGCTCTCCTCGCCCTCCCTGCCCTTACAATCCATGGCATCAGGATGCGGGCGGAGCAGCTGGACAATGTCAGCCCAGCGCTGCTGTCAGAGGACGAGAGTCTGGCATTCAAATGCCTCCCCTTGGATGTTCTTTGAATCCCCTCCCCCCCCGTGCTCCCGCTCACTGCTCTCTCTCTCTCTCTCTCCCATGCTGTCAGAATGTTGGCAGAGCAGCTGAACGATGTGAGCCCAGCACTGCTCTCAGAGGACGAGCGGTTGGCCTTCACATGCCTCCCCTTGAACGTTCATTCAAACCCTTACTTCCCCGTGCCCCGTCTCCCTGCTCTCTCTCTCCCATGCTGTCAGAATGCTGGCAGAGCAGCTGGACGATGTGAGCCCGGCGCTGCTGTCAGAAGAGGAATGAGAGTATCGTCGAATTTGGCGCCGGGCGCTGGACGACGAGAGCCCGGCGCTGCGTTCAAATGCATCCCTTTGAGCGTTCTTTGAATCCCCTCCCTCTGCTCCCCCCTGCATCAGAATGCTAGCGGAGCAGTTGGACGATGTGAGCCCGGTCCTGCTGTTGAGGTGCCACCGAGACTGTCATTCCTTGCCCTGCTCCCTGCTTCCACTGAACCACCTCCCACTGAGAACGTCATTCCTCTTCCTCTTTTCTCCCATGCCATCAGAATGCTGCCGGAGCAGCTGGGCGATGTGAGTCCGGCTCTGCTGCGTAGGTGCCACTCTCATTGTTTTTAGCCCTCTCTCCCTGCTCTCCCTGCTCTTCCTGCTCTCCCTGCTCTCACTGCTCTCCCTGCTCTCCCTGCTCTCCCTGCCCTCCCTGCTCTCCCTGCTCTTCCTGCTCTCCCTGCTCTCCCTGCTCTCCCTGCTCTCCCTGCTCTCCCTGCTCTCCCTGCTCTCCCTGCTCTCCCTGCTCTCCCTGCTCTCCCTGCTCTCTCCTGCTCTCCCTGCTCTCCCTGCCTGCTCTCCCTGCTTCTCCCTGCTCCCCGCCTGCTCTCCCTGCTCTCCTGCTCTCCCATGCTCTCCCTGCTCTCACTGCTCTCCCTGCTCTCCCTGCTCTCCCTGCTCTCCCTGGCTCTCCCATGCTCTCCCTGCTCTCCCTGCTCTCCCTGCTCGTCCCCTGCTCTCCCTGCTCTCCCTGCTCTCCCTGCTCCCTGCTCTCCCTGCTCTCCCTGCTCTCCCTGCTCTCCCTGATTCCCTGCTCTCCCTGCTCTCCCTGCCTTCTCCCTGCTCTCCCTGCTCTCCCTGCTCTCCCTGCTCTCCCTGCTCTCCCTGCTCTCCCTGCTCTCCCTGCTCTCCCCTGCTCTCCCTGCTCTCCCTGCTCTCCCTGCTCTCCCTGCTCTCCCTGCTCTCCCTGCTCTCCCTGCTCTCCCTGCTCTCCCTGCTCTCCCTGCTCTCCTGCTCTCCCTGCTCTCCCTGCTCTCCCTGCTCTCCCTGCTCTCCCTGCTCTCCCTGCTCTCCTGCTCTCCCTGCGCTCTCCCTGCTCTCCCTGCTCTCCCTGCTCTCCCTGCTCTCCCTGCTCTCCCTGCTCTCCCTGCTCTCCCTGCTCTCCCTGCTCTCCCTGCTCTCCCTGCTCTCCCTGCTCTCCCTGCTCTCCCTGCTCTCCCTGCTCTCCCTGCTCTCCCTGCTCTCCTGCTCTCCCTGCTCTCCCTGCTCTCCCTGCTCTCCCTGCTCTCCCTGCTCTCCCTGCTCTCCCTGCCTCTCCCTGCTCTCCCTGCTCTCCCTGCTCTCCCTGCTCTCCCTGCTCTCCCTGCTCTCCCTGCTCTCCCTGCTCTCCCTGCTCTCCCTGCTCTCCTCCCTGCTCTCCCTGCTCTCCCTGCTCTCCCTGCTCTCTCTCACTGCTCTCCCTGCTCTCCCTGCTCTCCCTGCTCTCCCTGCTCTCCCTGCTCTCCCTGCTCTCCCTGCTCTCCCTGCTCTCCCTGCTCTCCCTGCTCTCCCTGCTCTCCCTGCTCTCCCTGCTCTCCCTGCTCTCCCTGCTCTCCTGCTCTCCCTGCTCTCCCTGCTCTCCCTGCTCTCCCTGCTCTCCCTGCTCTCCCTGCTCTCCCTGCTCTCCCTGCTCTCCCTGCTCTCCCTGCTCTCCCTGCTCTCCCTGCTCTCCCTGCTCTCCCTGCTCTCCCTGCTCTCCCTGCTCTCCCTGCTCTCCCTGCTCTCCCTGCTCTCCCTGCTCTCCCTGCTCTCCCTGCTCTCCCTGCTCTCCCTGCTCTCCCTGCTCTCCCTGCTCTCCCTGCTCTCCCTGCTCTCCCTGCTCTCCCTGCTCTCCCTGCTCTCCCTGCTCTCCCTGCTCTCCCTGCTCTCCCTGCTCTCCCTGCTCTCCCTGCTCTCCCTGCTCTCCCTGCTCTCCCTGCTCTCCCTGCTCTCCCTGCTCTCCCTCTCCCTGCTCTCCCTGCTCTCCCTGCTCTCCCTGCTCTCCCTGCTCTCCCTGCTCTCCCTGCTCTCCCTGCTCTCCCTGCTCTCCCTGCTCTCCCTGCTCTCCCTGCTCTCCCTGCTCTCCCTGCTCTCCCTGCTCTCCCTGCTCTCCCTGCTCTCCCTGCTCTCCCTGCTCTCCCTGCTCTCCCTGCTCTCCCTGCTCTCCCTGCTCTCCCTGCTCTCCCTGCTCTCCTGCTCTCCCTGCTCTCCCTGCTCTCCCTGCTCTCCCTGCTCTCCCGCCTCCCTGCTCTCCCTGCTCTCCTGCTCTCCCTGCTCTCCCTGCTCTCCCTGCTCTCCCTGCTCTCCCTGCTCTCCCTGCTCTCCCTGCTCTCCCTGCTCTCCCTGCTCTCCCTGCTCTCCCTGCTCTCCCTGCTCTCCCTGCTCTCCCTGCTCTCCCTGCTCTCCCTGCTCTCCCTGCTCTCCCCTGCTCTCCCTGCTCTCCCTGCTCTCCTGCTCTCCCTGCTCTCCCTGCTCTCCCTGCTCCTCCTGCTCTCCCTGCTCTCCCTGCTCTCCCTGCTCTCCCTGCTCTCCCTGCTCTCCCTGCTCTCCCTGCTCTCCCTGCTCTCCCTGCTCTCCCTGCTCTCCCTGCTCTCCCTGCTCTCCCTGCTCTCCCTGCTCTCCCTGCTCTCCCTGCTCTCCCTGCTCTCCCTGCTCTCCCTGCTCTCCCTGCTCTCCCTGCTCTCCCTGCTCTCCCTGCTCTCCCTGCTCTCCCTGCTCTCCCTGCTCTCCCTGCTCTCCCTGCTCTCCCTGCTCTCCCTGCTCTCCCTGCTCTCCCTGCTCTCCCTGCTCTCCCTGCTCTCCCTGCTCTCCCTGCTCTCCCTGCTCTCCCTGCTCTCCCTGCTCTCCCTGCTCTCCCTGCTCTCCCTGCTCTCCCTGCTCTCCCTGCTCTCCCTGCTCTCCCTGCTCTCCCTGCTCTCCCTGCTCTCCCTGCTCTCCCTGCTCTCCCTGCTCTCCCTGCTCTCCCTGCTCTCCCTGCTCTCTCTCCTGCTCTCCCTGCTCTCCCTGCTCTCCCTGCTCTCCCTGCTCTCCCTGCTCTCCCTGCTCTCCCTGCTCTCCCTGCTCTCCCTGCTCTCCTGCTCTCCCTGCTCTCCCTGCTCTCCCTGCTCTCCCTGCTCTCCCTGCTCTCCCTGCTCTCCCTGCTCTCCCTGCTCTCCTGCTCTCCCTGCTCTCCCTGCTCTCCCTGCTCTCCCTGCTCTCCCTGCTCTCCCTGCTCTCCCTGCTCTCCCTGCTCTCCCTGCTCTCCCCTGCTCCCCTGCTCTCCCTGCTCTCCCTGCTCTCCCTGCTCTCCCTGCTCTCCCTGCTCTCCCTGCTCTCCCTGCTCTTCCCTGCTCTCCCTGCTCTCCCTGCTCTCCCTGCTCTCCCCTGCTCTCCCTGCTCTCCCTGCTCTCCCTGCTCTCCCTGCTCTCCCTGCTCTCCCTGCTCTCCCTGCTCTCCCTGCTCTCCCTGCTCTCCCTGCTCTCCCTGCTCTCCCTGCTCTCCCTGCTCTCCCTGCTCTCCCTGCTCTCCCTGCTCTCCCTGCTCTCCCTGCTCTCCCTGCCCTCCCTGCTCTCCCTGCTCTCCCTGCTCCCTGCTCTCCCTGCTCTCCCTGCTCTCTCCTGCTCTCCCTGCTCTCCCTGCTCTCCCTGCTCTCCCTGCTCTCCCTGCTCTCCCTGCTCTCCCTGCTCTCCCTGCTCTCCCTGCTCTCCCTGCTCTCCCTGCTCTCCCTGCTCTCCCTGCTCTCCCTGCTCTCCCTGCCTCTCCCTGCTCTCCCTGCTCTCCCTGCTCTCCCTGCTCTCCCTGCTCTGCCCCTGCTCTCCCTGCTCTCCCTGCTCTCCCTGCTCTCCCTGCTCTCCCTGCTCTCCCTGCTCTCCCTGCTCTCCCTGCTCTCCCTGCTCTCCCTGCTCTCCCTGCTCTCCCTGCTCTCCCTGCTCTCCCTGCTCTCCCTGCTCTCCCTGCTCTCCCTGCTCTCCCTGCTCTCCCTGCTCTCCCTGCTCTCCCTGCTCTCCCTGCTCTCCCTGCTCTCCCTGCTCTCCCTGCTCTCCCTGCTCTCCCTGCTCTCCCTGCTCTCCCTGCTCTCCCTGCTCTCCCTGCTCTCCCTGCTCTCCCTGCTCTCCCTGCTCTCCCTGCTCTCCCTGCTCTCCCTGCTCTCCCTGCTCTCCCTGCTCTCCCTGCTCTCCCTGCTCTCCCTGCTCTCCCTGCTCTCCCTGCTCTCCCTGCTCTCCCTGCTCTCCCTGCTCTCCCTGCTCTCCCTGCTCTCCCTGCTCTCCCTGCTCTCCCTGCTCTCCCTGCTCTCCCTGCTCTCCCTGCTCTCCCTGCTCTCCCTGCTCTCCCTGCTCTCCCTGCTCTCCCTGCTCTCCCTGCTCTCCCTGCTCTCCTGCTCTCCCTGCTCTCCCTGCTCTCCTGCTCTCCTGCTCTCCCTGCTCCCTGCTCTGCTCTCCCTGCTCTCCCTGCTCTCCCTGCTCTCCCTGCTCTCCCTGCTCTCCCTGCTCTCCCTGCTCTCCCTGCTCTCCCTGCTCTCCCTGCTCTCCCTGCTCTCCCTGCTCTCCCTGCTCTCCCTGCTCTCCCTGCTCTCCCTGCTCTCCCTGCTCTCCCTGCTCTCCCTGCTCTCCCTGCTCTCCCTGCTCTCCTGCTCTCCCTGCTCTCCCTGCTCTCCCTGCTCTCCCTGCTCTCCCTGCTCTCCCTGCTCTCCCTGCTCTCCCTGCTCTCCCTGCTCTCCCTGCTCTCCCTGCTCTCCCTGCTCTCCCTGCTCTCCCTGCTCTCCCTGCTCTCCCTGCTCTCCCTGCTCTCCCTGCTCTCCCTGCTCTCCCTGCTCTCTCTGCTCTCCCTGCTCCCCCTGCTCTCCCTGCTCTCCCTGCTCTCCCTGCTCTCCCTGCTCTCCCTGCTCTCCCTGCTCTCTCCCATGGCATCATCAGGATGCTAGCGGAGCAGTTGGACGATGTGAGCCCGGCTCTGCTCTCAGAGGACGAGCGGCTGGCCTTCTGGATCAACCTGCACAACGCACTGCTGCTGCACGTGAGTGGCTTGCTTATCCCTGCATGCATGTGAGCAAGGTGGCATGTGCATGTGCATGTGCGTGTGCATGTGCATGTGGTAACATTGCTGCATGTGAGTGGCCTGCCTATCCCTGCATCCATGTGCGCAAGGTGCCATGTGCATTAGCAGTAGTAAGACTGCTCTCAGAGGACGAGCGGCTGGCCTTCTGGATCAACCTGCACAACGCACTGCTGCTGCACCTGAGTCTCTAGATGTGCCCTGCATGCATGTGAGCGAAATGTGCCCTGCATGCATGTGAGCGAAATGTGCCCTGCATGCATGCGAGTGTGGTGTCATTCAATGGCAGTGGTAACATTGCTCGCAGACGATGAGCGCCGGAGAGCGCCTGGCCTTTTGGATCAACCTGCACCATGCACTGCTGCTGCATGTGAGGCTAGTCGTGAGATTTCCTTAGGCTAGTCACAAGCGGCTACCCCACCCCACATAGTACCCTTTTATGTTCCGTTCTCCCCTGTCCGCCCACTGTTTATATTGGTCAACCCCTTTCTTTCCCTCTCCTCCCCCCCCCTTTCCAACCCCGCGCAGACATTCCTGTGGATGGATACCCCACAGCACATGCCAAGCGCATCGCACTATTCAATCAAACTAAATTACCCACGTAACAAATCACCCACATATCCCTCTGTAGTATCCCTTCTTCCACTACCCAACCCCTCTCTCCCCAACGCCCTTCTCCCGTTTCAGACGTTCCTAGTGGATGGATACCCCACAACACATGCCAAGCGCATCGCGCTGCTAAATCAGGTTTGCCACTGTTCTTACCTGGTAAGTGCCACTGTTCCAACTAAGTGTCACCATTCCCACTATGTGGCAGTACCTAAGCGCTTGGATCCTGTATTTTGTACCACATTCACATTCACAAGTCACACATTGATATCGGGTTCTCTGTTCACTCACAACCACTCTTTAACCTCTCTCCCTCTCCTCTCTCCCTCCTCTGGTCATCTTCTTCTCAATCCGTTTCCCCCCCTCCAGGCCACCTACACCATTTCGCGGCACAACCATCAATTCTCCATCCTCATCTCCCCCTCTCTCCCTTCTCTCTCTCCCTTCTCTCTCTCCCTTCTCTCTCTCCCTTCTCTCTCTCCCTTCTCTCTCTCCCTGCTCTCTCCTTTGTCTCTCCCTGCTCCTGTCATCCTCCCTTCCTGTTCACTCCAGGCCACGTTCACCATTCGGGGCACGGCCATCAACGCATTTGAAATCGAGTTCTCCATTCTCCGAGCACAATCTTTCCACTCCTCTCTGGTAACACTCCTCTCTGGTAACACTCCACTCTGATAACACTCCACTCTGGTAACACTCCACTCTGGTAACACTCCACTCTGGTAACACTCCACTCTGGTAACACTCCTCTCTGGTAACACTCCACTCTGGTAACACTCCTCTCTGGTAACACTCCTCTCTGGTAACACTCCACTCTGGTAACACTCCTCTCTGGTAACACTCCACTCTGGTAACACTCCACTCTGGTAACACTCCTCTCTGGTAACACTCCACTCTGGTAACACTCCACTCTGGTAACACTCCTCTCTGGTAACACTCCTCTCTGGTAACACTCCACTCTGGTACTGCCTCCCTGCATTTCTCCCCAGTTCTCACGTTGCTCTTTGAAAACGCCTTGCTTTCTATTTATACCCACTGTGCCTCCGCTCCTCTCTGCCACCGCTCCTCTCTGCCACCGCTCCTCTCTGCCACCGCTCCTCTCTGCCACCGCTCCGCTCTGCCACCGCTCCTCTCTGTCACCGCTCCTCTCTGCCTCCGCTCCTCTCTGCCTCCGCTCCTCTCTGCCTCCGCTCCTCTCTGCCGCCGTTTCTCTCTGCACTTGTTTTGTCTCTGCGACGTCCATCCGTCTTCTTCGGAAATCTTAGTCAAGAAACTTCCAAATATGTTTTTCCTTAAGATCCATTGTTGAGTGAAATCCCTCCATACTCTCTCCCCCCTCCACCCCATCAGACCATGGCTCTCAAGGGCCGCCCCTTCCCTCCAAGTGACCACCGCCCATCATGGCAGCTACATCACACCTCAGCATCTCCCTTTTATGCTCTGTGTATTCCCCTCCCTCCATACTCTCTCCCCCCTCCACCCCATCAGGCCACGGCACTTAAAGTCCGCCCCTTCCTTCCAAGCGACCACCGCTCGTCATGGGCCCTGCACTCCCCCCACCCCAGCGTCTCCTTCGCTCTCTGCATTCCCTTCCATCCATGTTCTCTCTTCCCCCTTTCTCCCACTTTCTGCCCCCTCCACCCCATCAGGCCACGGCTCTCAAGGTCCGTCCCTTCCCTCCAAGCGACCACCGCTCCTCCTGGGCCATGCAGTCGCCCCACCCCAGCGTCTCCTTTGCCCTCTGCTCTGGCACCTTCTCTGCTCCCCTGGTGAGTGCTCCTATATCCACTTTGTTGTAATTGTTGCGTTGTTCTCATGTTCTCTCTTCCCGGGCAATTTTTCTGCTCCTCTGATGAGTCCTCCTCAATCACTTCGTCGTCCCCTGTCGTGTAACATTTTTTTCTTTTTCTTTTTTCTTTTTTAACAAAATAACGGGTTTCAACAAAGGTCTCCTCTCATGGTTTTTTATTCTACTTGAAACAAAATTGCATGCAGTCAGTGCACTCTACCAGTCAGTGCAGTGTGGCTGCCAGTGCAAAGGGAGGGCTTGCAACTTGATACCCCTCCCTTCTTTCCCCTCACCATTCCCCTCCCCCTTCCATTTCCCCCTCCTACACCCACATGTCTTCTCACCACGGGCAGTAAGAGCAGAGTTGGGGAAGGCAAGGGAGGGCTTCTTGTTTACTTGCCTTTCTATGCTGTCTCTCCCTTCCCCTTCCCCTCCTTCTATGCTGTCTCTCCCTTCCCCTTCCCCTCCTCTTTCTCACCCCCCAGCTAAAAGTATTCTCACTGCGCACGGTGAGAGCAGAGCTGGAGGAGGCAAGGGAGGGCTTTCTTGAGCTTGCAGTTGGACTCAGTCGAGTCAATCGCCTTGTTCCCCTTCCCCGTCCCCTTTCTCCGACCCTCCCCCTTTCCCCCACCTCCAGCTGAAAGTGTTCTCACCGCGTACAGTCAGGGCAGAGCTGGAGGAGGCAAGAGAGGGGTTCCTTGAGCTGGCAGTGGGACTCAGTCGAGACAACCGCCTCGTTCTCCCCAAAATACTTGCCTGGTGCGTGACATCGAAGAAAAATAATACAAGCGAAAGAAACAAACAGAGAAAGAAAGGAATAAAGAAAGAAAGAGCGAAAAAAAGAAAGAAAGAACAAGAATTTTTGAGTGCCTGTGATGTAGGCCTTAGTGTTTATGCTCTTCTCAAGGCTTGCAACCAAGCATTTGCTATAATTCTTTGTTGCCTTGTGATTGCCACACCGTGTTCCTTGCACACCCCTTCCCATGTTCACCATTTTTTCCTTTTTTCCTGCCCTGCCTCTGAATTCCTCCCACAGGTACTGCCCGGATTTTGCTGATTCTTTTCCATCCTTGCTTGAGTGGGTGTTGCACCAGCTCTCCCCTGCGCCACGGTTGGCACTGGCAAGATGGGTTGCTCTTAGAGGCAATCCCACATTCGCACAATGTGTCGAGGTGGCGCCATTTGATTGGTCGATCCGGTATCTTCTTGACCCCAAATCGCTCACATTGAACACAGATGGCTTGTAATCCATCAGAAAGATATGTGATGTGACAAGTAGAGAGCATGTTAGGGTCGAACAAGTATGGAAGGTACCAAATAGTTTATTCGTGGCGTAATGTGTAGTGCCTTGAGCCCCATACAATGACATGATCCAATGTTCTGGATTCATGTGCATATTGGAATAGCATGATATCTTATTCATTACATCTCCATCATCTATGTAGCATTTATTGGAAAGTTACATTCTATGCTTACTTGTATCTGTTTTTCCAACGTTGAGATTTACGTGTCCTGCGATTGAGACTGTTACGAGTGCAATTGAGGGAACGAACGAGAATTGCACTATCGAAGCAAGAGTCCAATGAGCGAAGGCATGAGCGAAGAATATATAGCGAAACTACAGTGGTAACGGTAATGGTCTGTGGTAGTCGCGCGACGAGCCTGGGACTGAGGTTTGGGAAAGTGTCGAAGCGTAGGCCCGGAGCGCGGGTTACCAGCCGAGCCGTGAGGTCGGGATGCGATGTGCGAAAATGGCGGGATGATTATCGGTGCGATGATCGCGAGTGGTAACGGTGCTGACTGAGGTGCTACAGTGATGTACGCGTTGAGCAGGGATGCGAAGTAAGGAAAAGGGAATTTCCTTACACTACCCCCCCCCCCTCCTAAGGAGGTCCTCCTTACGAAAGCGCGAGGACGTCTTTGAAGTTTCGGCTGCGCAGGTAGTCGGTGACGACAGGGTGGTTTTCAACTTTGTCCAGGGGAACCCAGTTGTCCTCGGTGGGTGTACGATCTTTCCAGCGGATCAGAAACTCAACTTTTCGGGCTCCTCGAGGGTCGCGAACTCTGTGGCTCAAGATTTTTTCGGGGGTGATGACTGGTTCGGTTGGTGGTCGTGTCATGCTGGATGGCCGATGTCGTGGGAGTTGGCTGGTGGATGGGACGTAAGGGCGAAGCAGACTGACGTGGAACGAGGGGCTGACGTACCAGTCAGCAGGGAGGAGGGGGTGCGCAGTGACGGGTGTGATCATGTGGCTAATTCGAAACGGCCCACAGTATTGAGGGCGGAGTTTGGGAGTGATGGGCAGGCGGAGGTTTTGAGTGTCGAGTAACACGAGGTCGTCGGGCTGATAAGTGACGGGTCTGCGGTGGCGATCGGCGTTGCGTTTAGCGATGCTATTTGATTTTTTAATTGCTTCTGCTGCCCTGGTTCGTGCTGCTTGCAGAATCTTGGCGAACTGTTGTGCGCGTGGAACGGGATTGTCGGGATTCGGTGTCATGGGTACTGTTGGGTCCTGTCCGTAGTTCAAGTAAAATATGTGACTGTTGGGTCGTGGCGGATGGCGCGTTGTTGTACGCAAACTCGATGAGAGGCAGCTGCTGTTCCCACGTGTTTGGATCGTCGCACGTGGCTCGAATCAGTTGCTCCATGGTTTGGTTTGTCCGTTCTGTCTGTCCGTCGATTTCGGGGTGGTAGGATGAACTGAATTGAAGTCGCGTGCCGAACTGCTGCCACAGGTTCCGCCAGAAATTACTGGTAAACTTCGTGTCCCTGTCGTTGATGATCGACGCTGGTATCCCGTGCAGTCGAACGACGGTGGTGATGAAGAGTCGGGCTGTTTCCTCGGCTGTGATTGATTTCCTGCATGCTGCGAAATGCGCCATTTTCGTTAGTCGATCGACGACGACCAGGATCGCGTCATTCCCACTCGCCCCAGCCGGTAAACCCGTGACGAAGTCCATCGTCACCTGCTGCCAAGCACGCTCTGGGGGTGGGATTGGTTGCAATTGTCCCGCCGGCCGCTTCCTGCTTGACTTCATGAGCTGGCAAGTGGGACACGATGCCACGTGTCGTTGCACGTCGGTCAACATTTCCGGCCAGTAGTAGTACCGCTGCAGCTGCTGCCGTGTTTTTTCTACTCCGAAATGTCCCGAGGTAACTCCGTCGTGTGCTTCCTGTAACAGTAGTTCCCGTAGTAGCGTGTATCCTGGTACCCAGATGCGGTCGGTTCCAGCTTTTACGTAATAAACTCCCTTGGCTGCTGCGAATTGCTGTGAATTTCCTCCTGTGAAGAACGCGTCTGTTTGATATCCGTGGGTAAATAGTCCTGTCAGTAATGGGCTGGTCTGGGTGAGTAGTATCGCGTGGATTTGGGCAGTGGGGCGGGTCAGTGCGTCAGCGATATTCGAGGCTCCTTTTTTATATGTGACCGTATAGTGGAAATTCGACTCGAGGAAGTCGAGCCACCGAATCTGTCGTGGGTTGAGGTGGGGCTGTGCGCGAAGGTACTGTAGGGATCGATGGTCTGTCCGTACTGTCACGTCTGCGCCGGTCAAGTAGCAGCGCCACACTTTGAATGCATGCACGATCGCAAGCATTTCGCGGTCGTGTATCGGGTAATTTCGCTCAGGTGGATGGAGCTTGCGTGATTCGTAAGCGATGGGTTGGAGGCCGTTGCCGAAGTCCTGTAACAGGACAGCTCCGATGGCGATGTCGCTTGCGTCGGTAACAACTTCGAAGGGGCGGTGTGGGTCAGCGATGCGTAGGACGGGTGGTGAACAGAGAACATTTTTTAGGGTAGAGAAGGCAGCATGCTCTTTCTCCCCCCACGTAAAAGGGACCCCCTTACGTAGTAAATCAGTGAGCGGGGCTGTTAAGCGTGCCATGTCGGGGACGAACCGACGAACGTAATTAACAAACCCTAAAAAACTCTGCAGTTCCGTGATGTTCGTCGGGGGACGCTGTCAAACATTATATATGTTATGCTTGTGTAGGCTACAGTGGGTTAGCCTATAGGGGGTACACAGTTCTAGGGTTTCCTACTTGTACTCATTTCACTGCTAGTTCATCCATTTCTGTTCGCTTATTCTCACATGGTATAGAGCGGGTCCTTCTAAGGACCGTTTTTTTGGGCCCACCGAAGCGCGCCCCGAGGCACGATTTTTTTTAGCGACCCCTCGGGTCGCCTTTTCCCCTGCGGCTCAGCCGCCTCCACTGACGCGGCCCCGCCGCCCTCCCTTACGCGGCCCCGTCGCCGGTTCTCACGCGGCCCCGCCGCCGACTCTGTCGCGGCCCCGCCCCGGCCTTTACGCGGCCCCGCTGCCTGCTCTCACGCGGCCCCGCCCCGGCTCCTACGCGGCCCCGCCCCGGCCTTCACGCGGCCCCGCCGACGGCTCTGTCGCGGCCCCGCCCAGGCTCTTCCGCGGCCCCGCCGCCTACTCTCGCGCGGCCCCGCCCCGGCTTTCACGCGGCCCCGCCGGCGGCTCTCTCGCGGCCCCGTCCCGGCTCTTACGCGGCCCCTGCCCCGGCTCTTACGCGGCCCTGCCGCCGGCTCTCTTACGGCCCCGTCGCCGGCCCTGACGCGGCCCCTGCCCCGGCTCTCAAGCGGCCCCACCGCCGGCTCTTTTGCGGCCCCGCCGCCGGCTCTGAAGCGGCCCCGCCTCGGCTCTCAAGCGGCCCCGCCGCCGGCCCTCACGCGGCCCCTACCCGGCTCTCTTGCGGCCCTGCCGCCGGCTCTGAAGCGGCCCCGCCCCGGCTCTCACGCGGCCCCGCCGCCGGCCCTCACGCGTCCCCGCCCCGGCTCTCTCACGCGGCCCCGCCGCCACACCTGCAGCAGTCGGGCAGCAGTGCAGCCGAACCGCCCGGGAGCCGAGCCGCCCAACGCCCGAGACGCCCTGCCGCCGAGCCGCCCGGGAGCCAAGCCGCCTTGCACCCGAGCCGCCCTGCCGCCGAGCCGCCCGGGAGCCGAGCCGCCCTGCGCCCGAGCCGCCCAGCCGCCGAGCCGCCCGGGAGCTGAGCCGCTGTGCACCCGAGCCGCCCGGTCGCCGAGCCGCCTTTCTGCAGAGCTGCACGACCTGCCCTGCCTGGTGAGCACAGTCCCACTGTCACTGCGAGCTCTTTCCCTACTGCTTGCACTGCGTCGCTGTCGTCGCCATGGCTACCCCTAGTGTCCTAGCTTTTGACGCTGAGGGTCGCGCCATTGATTTTGAGGTCTGGTTAGACGACCTGCAGCTGTTCTTACAGTGCGACAGGGCTGACAGCCTTTCTCTCTTTGACCTCACCTCTGGCGCCTCTCCTGCTCCTGCTGCTGATGCTGATCCCACTGTCCGCTCTCAGTGGGCCACCCGCGATGCTGCTGCACGTCTTGCTGTGCGTCGCCACCTCCCTACCTCTGAGCGTGCGCACTTTAGTCAGTACAAGAGTGCTCAGACCTTGTACGACGCTGTAGTTGCGCGCTACTCCTCCCCTGCCACTGCTGCACTGAGCCGTCTCATGCTTCCCTACCTCTTTCCTGACCTCTCTGCCTTTCCCACTGTCGCTGACCTCATTACGCACCTCCGCACTAGTGACACTCGCTACCGCGCCGCCCTTCCTGCTGAGTTCTGCGCTAAGAACCCACCCCCCATGTACATCGCTCTCTACTATGTAGTCGCGCGCCTCCCTGACTCCCTTCGCGTCGTCAGGGACCACTTTCTCGCAGTCTGTCCCACCACCCTCACCGTCGACCTCCTCGAGAAGGCCCTCCTCGCAGCGGAGAAGAGCATAGTCGCTGTAGGTGCTTCTCGTGGTGACCCTCGCACCCCCATCTTTGAGGGGTGCTCTCCTTCCCCCTTGCTGCCCTCTGTTGCCTCTGCTGCTGCTGCCGACCTGCTTGGTCTTGAGTCGGTCGGCGCGGCGTCTGCCCCTAGTGGGAGACGTCGCTCCAGCAAGGGCAAGGGGGGCAAGGGCGCGGGTGGAGCTGGAGGGGGCGGTGGCGGTGGCGGCGGTGGCGGCGGAGGAAGTGGGGGTGGCGGCGGGACTAGTGGCGGGGGTGGTGGTGGTGGTGGCAGCAGCGGCGGCGACGGTGGTGGTGGTGCCAGCGCTGGTGGTGGAGGCAGCGGCGGAGGTGGAGGCGGCGGAGGTGGAGGCGGTGGAGGCGGCAGCGGAGGAGGCGGTGGTGGTGGAGGAGGTGGAGCTGGTCGGGGTGGTACCAAGCAGCGTAGCGGCGGTGGTGGTGGCCAGCGCTCGCAGCGGCAGCAGCAGCAGCGC